AGGATTTTCTGTGATTAAAGATTTGGTTTAGATTTCTTTCAGCAATTGCATTAATTCCACTGGTGATAGAGTCCTTCCTCATACTTTCTATTATTATTTCTTGGAGTTTTTTTCCCCATGCAAGTTTTATCTGCATCTTTTTCTGAGAGCAGCTGCTTTCTTTTGTTCCCTTTCTTCATGCAGTTCTGCCTTCCTTTGTCTTTCCACTACATGATTGGAAGTTATCAGCAGTTCTTGTAACCAATTAAACTTGAACTGAAAGCTGGTTATGCATTAAACCATCCCTCAGCAGGATGTCACAACCAAGAAAAAGGAAACCAAAGAAAAGGAAACTGAGAAAAAGGAAAAGTCACAACCAAGATGGTGTGTGTTTCTGGCTTATTTCATAATAGTCTTTCTTTCTATATAACCTTTTTATACATTTTTTTTTCAAGTTTAATGACTTGTCATTCAACTTCAAGCTGAAAGGTCAGCAGGCTGCTTTGTTCCTACTCTCTGTATTGGCTTGAGCAGTTTTGGGTTCCACCCCCTGAAACAGCTTACACTGATATCCAACAAACTTGATTACATCCATTCCTTAAAAACCTGGAACAAATGCTTAATTCAAGTGGGCTGCAGCTTTAGTAGCAGATTTATCTACATAATTGCAGAGACAGATTTCACTTACACCTCTTCTAATTTAAGATATGAAGCTTACAGATAGAATGACATCATGATCACTCAAGAAGAAAGCACAAATATGGTTCTTGCTACCTTTCTTTGTCTTGTAGGGCCCTCCATTGGGGTTTATGTCCTGCAGTGGCACAGAGACGACCTTGGCCAGGCCAGCATTCATCATGTACTGATACAGGCGTTTGAAAGTCCTCTCACAAAGGCCCTGGTGCAAAGGGAAATGGCAAAAGTCACTGTAACCCCAAAGCCTCACCTGCTGCTGACCAAAGCATCAAAGACATTCCTACTGCCTGTTCTTAAAATACAGTGTTCTGGGGAGGGCATCCAAAAAGGAACTTAAAAGCCTGTTAGTGTAGACACTGGGCAGAACATGAGATGTTGTGTTGTGGAGTGTGTTGTATTCTTCCAACTCTATCATCCAAACAAACAGCTTGTTTGTTTTCTTACTTAGACGAGTAAGAAATGCAGGATGATATTCATTGACAAAACATTTCTGAAGCTGTGGATGGAACAGAGCTCCTTCCCTAGGACAAACACCAACAGGAACTTGATCTAGTAGGTTTTTAAGATCCTTCTTCTGATATCCTCCCCCAGAGCTTTGTGCAACTCTAAAAAGCAGGCAGTAAGAATGAGTGCCTTTGATACTAATTATCTAGATTCTACTGAGTGAGAATTTAAAAGAGGAATGAATCTCACCAATTCTTCCCTCAAGTTTCCTAATGTTTCCATCTGGTTTGAACGAGCACTTAGCATACTTGACAGCTTCTCCATTAGAATATCATATTTGCTCCTCCTAACCAAGAAAAGAAAATTATTTTACATGTAAGTATGCACATAACTTCATAAAAATGAGTTGTAGCTTTACAAAATGTCAGTCACTAGAGAAAGTATGCTAAGTGTTCTCAGACTGGTTTAGGAATTAAGTTTTCTTTCCTTCTGTGAAAAGCACGAGAGAATTTGTCACTGAGAAGAGATCTCAGCCAAGGGAACAGTGACTAAGCCCAAGCTGTTACTTCACTGGCAATCCACAGAAGCACAAGTTCTAATTATAAACAAGATAGGAAAACAAAACAAAAAAATCTATTAGAAATGTGTTGGAAGTGAAAACACTCAAAATTAACAAAATGATCAGTGCTACAATAAGGAAAGCTAGGTTTATGTAGGCAGGTGACAGGCACTGGAATATTCTACTGAGCTGTCTGGCATTCGGAAGAGGAGTTAAAGAAACTGAGGAGAGTCAATACCAGGAAACTTTGATGGTTCTGTGACAACAGAGCAATCTCTCATCATAGTAAAAGGTCACAGTCTGCCCAGCAGACCTTTAAAACATACCTATCAGCATGAAAGCGAGTCAGAAGCAGGAGAATTGAGTGCTGCTGTGCTCCACTTGGCAGTCTTATGACGTGGGATTGCATCGTTATGAGACCATTTCTGTCCAATACTCTTCGGTGGTAATGAAGTTTTCCAGCATCCACTCTGAGGAAAAGGTGGCAAGATAAAGATGGCAGGATGTAGGCATAGAAACTTCTGCAAATAATTTTAATTATCCAGTACCCCAGAACACTTTACCTAAATTCCTACGAGCTTAGCAATATACGCTCATTTTCAAAGTGACAAACTCAAAATTAAGAAGTGCCAAAATTAAGAAAACCTGTGAAATTTATTTTCATAGTTAATCCAATAAGCAGAGAGAAATTCCTCCGATTTTAGCCCAGAGTCTAGGCACAGAGTGTCATGAGGATTTGATGAGGGAGTTGAATCAGTATTGTATCCCCATGCCTCCTTTCTCCATCCTCTCTTTTTAACTCCTGGCTACACCACAATCACCACCCTCCTTGTAATAACTCTGATATTCATCTCACTCCCTGCTGAGCTGACTTAGGCCACCAAACCCTCTACCTCCATCATCTAAGTTACACAAAAGAGTTTCCTAAGTGGTACAAAAAAATGCCAGGTGGTTTGCAAGCTACAACCCATTTATGTCCTAAAAGCAGTGAATCCTTACAGCAGTGCTAATATCCTGCAGAACTTCAGGAGTTCTCTAAGAGGCTGTGTAACACTCCTCCATCAATAAAATACATGGCCTAGTTTGGGAGCTGGTAACTCAGGCTCCCACTCACTTGGAGGAAGATGTCACACAGGGAAAATGCTGGGGACTCAAGCTGGGCATTCTAGAATCTCTCCAGAACTTGGGCAGGATAAGATGCTTTCCCAGCAGTTCAGAAAAGGAAATGGAAATCATTGTTCCATCCCAAATCTGAAGAAAAAGTTATTCAGAGAAAGCAAGAACTTCCAAAAATTAGAAATTTGTGTATTGACCCAACAGACAATTTCTGGAACTCTAATGAACTCAAGGGTGAGATCAGTACAGATCCAGCAACATGGGCTGCAAGAGCCAAGTACTCCTGGCAGCAAGGATGAAACACTACCAGGACACACATGAGTTCAAATCAATACACAGGAACACTCAAAAATCACCAGTGGCAACTTGTTAGCCCTGATTTAATTCACAGAGAAAAATGCAAACTTACTTGAAAGCCCCACAGTGAAGGTCCCTCTGGAGCTCTCCTTGCCACCGAGCACGGCCCAAACGCTCCAGGATGCAGTAGGAGAAGTCGGGGAGTTTTAAGTCAGGGTCCCCCTCCCAGCCTATTAAAGCTCTGTAACGCTGGTCTTGGGAAGCAACAATGACGAGTCTCTCTCCCCACCTAAGAAACAGAAGGAAGAGTAATATATTGTTATCAGTTCCATAAAAACAGAGAAGTCAATCCCTTTCTCCCCACGAACACCATTCTTGATATAATCTGTACAAACTGGGCAAGGACCAAAAAAAAATCCCTTACAGGTATTTTAATGCCAGATATAAGGATTTCACTCACTTCTCAACAGCTTCTTTGTAAGTACAACAAGGCTGCAAATCCTTCCTCCTTATCTGATCAGTGATATCTACTCTCTCTTTAAAATACTGGCAGGAACCTTGTATGCCATCTTTGTTATCCAAAATCATGTGGACAGGATAAATATCATCCGAAGCAACAGGATCTCTTTTGGTTACCAGTATTCCCGTTTCAAGGTCTATCTCTTCATACCTGGAATAAAAGCAGAGAGCTAATACATGTAACCAAGCAAGGAGAAATGAAATATTGTCACAAACAATGCTGATAACTGAAACCTTGTCACAAACAATGCTGGTAACTCCATGGAGCACCTTGGAAAAATAAAGCTCTTTTGAGATACCAAGACTGGAAAAACATGAAGAGCAGAGCTGTGCTCCCCAAGTACAACCCAACCTCAGCATGCAGGAGGCAGAAGGAGGAGGATGCCCTGTTTAATCTTCAAAAACTCAAGGATATCCAGCGGAAATAAAAGAAACCCATAGTTCACAGAGAAGGAAAACAACAGGTACATCCACCCTGATGAACTGGGACATGCAAATTCTGCCTGTTAGTGGCAAGTGGATATTTGAGTGGAAATCTAGTCAGGACTCACACAGAGGTCACAGAACCACCAAGGTTGGAAGAGAACTTCAAGATCATCCAGTCCCAACCACCTACGATAACCTTTAAACCACTAAACCACATCACCCAGCGCCAGACCCAGACTCCTCTTAAACACCTCCAGCTGTGGTGCCTCCAGCACCTCCAGGGCAACCTGTTCCAATGCCCGACCACCGCAACAGTGACAAATTTTCTCCAATATCCAAACGGCAGCTCCGGAGCCACGCTCCGCGCTTCCCGCTGCCACCGACCCCAGCCGAGCCTGTGCCAGCAGCGCCGAGGGGTCAGCCCGGCACCCCGGCCCGGCTTCCCCCGGCTCGGGGCTCCCCGGCCCCGGCACTCACCCGTCGTGCAGGCGGAGCGGCGGCCGCGGCAGGGGCAGGAGGTAGAAGCGCAGGTCGGGCTGGGCGCTGAGCGCGGCCCAGAGCAGCTGCTGCGTGCCGGGCTCCAGCGGCAGCGGGAAGGGCGGCGAGCGGGCGGCCAGGCGGTGCCAGAGCGCGGCCGGGGTGATGCCGTCCAGCCCCTCCAGGGCCACCTCGTCCAGCAGCGCCCAGAGCGCCTCCATCGCCTCCATGCCCCGCCGCCGCTTCCGGGCCCGGGCGCGCAGGAACTGACGGGCGGCGGCGCGACCGTCACCGGGGAAACCGAGCAACAGGAGCGGCCGAGCCCCGGGCGAGCGGGGCGGGGGCCGGGGCTGCGCGGGGGCCGCGCCCGGGTCAGTGTCCGTGCGGGGGCTTGTCCGGGGGGGCTCTGTCCGTCTGCAGGTTGTGCCAGCCCGGGGGGGCTCCGCTCCGGTGCCCGTGTCTGCCCCGGAGGTCCGTGTCCCTTTGGAGACTCTGTCCCGGCCGGTCGGTGTCGGTCCCGGGGCTCTGTCCCGGCTGGTCAGTGTCGGTCCAGGGTCCGTGTGGGTCCGGTGGTTCTATCCGGGGTCAGTGTCCATCCAGGGTCCGTGCCGGTCCCGGGGCTCTGCCCGGGGCTGCAGAGCCCCGCGGGGTCGGTCCCGAGCCGGTCAGGGGGGTCTCGGCCCCAGATACCCCGCGAGCGGTAAAAGACAAAATACGGGGGATCCTTTGTTTGGGTACAACGTGTGGGTGGCACATTTTAACTTGTGAGAGTGTGAGAGAGAACGCCCCAGCACAGCTCGCGGCAGCGGCTCTGGGCTGGAAAGGGTCATGTTTACTGAAAGGGAACGTAAAATCTTTAATAGACACTTTGAAAATACACGGCCTCTGCAGACAGCAAGTTGTAGAATTAACTCGCCTCGTAAGCAGTACCAATGCAGGGAGATCACCCCGCAGCTGGACACTGAGGACAGCTTCAGTCTATGCCCCAGGGTTGACTTGCTCATCAGGTCTTGGGTTATAAACTCATTATATTGCATATGCCTTCCACTCTTAGTATTTTTAAGTTCTTCAGGAGCTTGTGAAGTGAAGAGTTCTGAAAAATAGGTAAAACAACTACAGTTTCCTCTGTTCTTCAGGAGCTTTATTTGCTGCACTGACAGCTTTATGCCTTGCTGAAGGAGGAACATTTTTCAGCTTATACATTCCCATCTATTGAGGGTGCAAAACCAGTGGTACTCCATAACAAATCATTCAGCCTGACAATTATATTCTCATTTCAGCTTTATATTAAGACATGGTGACTGACTTTGATGAAAAACATGACGAATACTTAATATCCCTTCAGCAGAGAAACAGGTAAGGCACACATTTGTTACCCCCACTGGGTGTGAAATACGTGTTCTGTTGTATCAGATACCAGCAGCTGTGGTGCAAAGTCTGACTTGCTGTGCTTTAAAGCATTCAGGTGTTTTCTCTCTTCTTCCCTTTGTTCCCTAAACATATCAAAGTTCTTTTTTTCCTGGAGGAGACCACAATGTTTCTTCAGTATTTAAAAGATAAATACATTCATTAATAAAGTAGTTGTTGTTTCTCTGGCTGACAGGGAAGATTTTTTGTTTATAGAAAAATCTTGTGGATTCAGAGGTAACTGGCAGCTCATGCTGTGTGAGGATATAGTTATGAGGCAAGACTTTTATATTGTCAGAAATACAGAAGAGTGGGAGATGAGGACATCCAGTTGCCCTTGCAAACTTTGTTTTCAAACTTGTCTTTCAGACAAGTTTCAAACATTTCTCTTACTCTTTGTTCTTATGCGCCTTCCTGTCATTGTACCCCGGACCAGATGAACTTCAGAGTTAATTCAGAAGGGCCTGCAAAACTTTCTTACTGGATTCCCTCCTTTACCGCAAGCCATAAGACTTTTACTCAAATTCTGTACCCAACCTTCAATTTTCTGATATCTCTGACTGGACTGTTGACTGGGGGCTTTTTACCTCAAGTTTCAAAACACAAATAATACTTTTTTTTTTTTTTTGAAAGACTCAACCATTTTCTTTAAGCTTTTTGGAAATTCCAAGTAAAACCTCAAAAAATTCTTAAGAAGTAAAGGTTAAATATGCTAAATGCCAATTGGAAAAAAATAACGTGAAATGAGAAACAACATGGGAAAAATGTCAGAAGGGAGAGGCTTGGTCAAACTTCACCTGTCACAGTGTTACAGAGGGGGAACAGATCCTGGAAGCTGTGTTCTGAAAGTGCTGTTTGAGCTGTGAAGATATTTTCCAGCTCTGTGATGTGGCGTGTTGTTGTATTTGTTGCTGATCTGACCATCTGCACGAGGATGAACTGCTGCCCTTCCTGCTCCAGGTTGCTGGAACGGTTGAGGAGGAAGGACCCCGTGCAAATCAGGCTGGAGCAGCTGGAACAAGGCTTCTCCCTGTATGTGAACGGAGCCAATTCGGAGCTCAGAAATCACCGCCGAAAAATCAGCTCCCACGGCTGCCTCAGAAACGACACAAAGCCCTGCAGGACAAGCGGTGAGTTCCGTGGGAGCCTGGCAGAGAGAGCAGATAGAACAAGTTGAAAACTGCACTCCCTGGAGCTGGAATTCAGGTGGTGAGGTCGCTGGCCAGGCTGTGATAAAGAGGCAGCACCGTCTGAGCTTGGAATGAAATTCCACGGGACTCTTTCACCTGAGTGCTTAAGCTGGTTGTGTGTAGGGAACACTCTCTGCAACACCCCATCAGTTTTTCAGTTGATCCCTGACTAATTCCAAGGTTTAACTTCCCCTCCTCTTCATTTGTTAAACAGCTCTGACTAAAACTGGAAGATTAGAAGTGTATAGAAATTGTCAGTGTAAAATAATGGTGTATCTTTGTCTGAGACATAACACCACTAATAGGATTTAAAATCTGATGAACTTCAGTGTTATCTAAGTCTAGTGTCCTGAGGACAAATGACATTTGATGACAGAGACTGTAATCAAATTATAAGCAGTAATAGCTGCATTAAGCTCATAAATGGTATTTAAGCTATAATAGTTGTCTTAAAAAGGCAGCTAATCTTTCTTTAAATATTTGAAGTAAAGAAAATCTACCATTTTCTCCCAGTGATTAGTTGGCTTTATCTAAAAATGGGTGTTTTGTTTCTAATTTAAGTCTGTCTGTCATTGAGAGCAGTGTAGTGACTGGAATAATTTTGCATGCATGAAGATATAAAGTATGAGCTCACTGGCCTTCTAATCTATTTAGCATAATGAAAAGAAAGTTGATTTCACTAAATCCCTCTGTAAAGCAGTTTACCAGCCTTAGTCAGTTATGTTTACCTGGCTACAACCTTTCTACCTCAGAGTGTGTTTTTTAATCTGTTGCTCTGTAGATGGTCTGCTTAAGCCTTATTTTCACCTAAAAGTAAAGACAAGGAGTTAAAAAAGTTACCTAATTTGATAATTTATTATGATTGAAATTCTGTTAATCTCAACATGGTTATTTTCCTTCAATAACCATGACTCTAACTTCATTTCTCTTGTTTTCCTGCCACATTAGGCACATACTACTTGTTTCCAAGTTTAAATCTGTTCAGCTTAGCTGTGAAAACCTCCTGTGTAGTGATGGGAAAAGGTTCATGTTCTTGGATATAGGAAAATGAAGGAAATTTGGTGCTTTGTCACTCTGGGATGATACACTTGGAGGGAGCAAAGCAACACCTGTGGCTTTTTCACCCAGAACTTGTGCAGGGGTGTTGTGGCAGCAGCTGTAAATTGAACTCTGTGTCAGGAGGAATTTCCTCTCAAAGTTCTGCTGTGCAGTTGTTATCTCTGAGCTTATCCCAAGCTCATTATTTTTATGGTCACTTGGTGCCATTTGATTCAGTTAAAGTAGAATACATGTCTCAGGGACCTTCAGAGACTTCAGTTGCAGTCTCTGTTCCTTTCCTCTGCTCCATCAGCTTAGAGATTGTAGCATTATCTCTGCAGAAGATAACTCAGTGCTGTTTCTTCCAGTGTTGATGTTTTAAACACCTGAAGCTGCAATGAAAGATGTCAGCTGAATCATCATCCTGTCATTCTTCTTCTTCCATTTCATTTTGCCATTGGAGACCAGAGGGGGAATTACTGGTGACCTGTAAAAGCTTCTTGCCTGGGAATTCTGCTTTAGCAATTTTGTGGTCTCTTTCATTTCTAGGCATTTTTTCTCAATGATTGAATATGATTTTATTTACAGAAATGATTCCTAGCTGAGATACAGCACAGAGTTTTCTTCCCTGTCTGTCTCTTGTGAGAGTTATTGTATCATTCATTACTTCTAAAACATCCATCTATAGGATTAATCTTCACTGAAAAATTAGGAATATGTGATACTTAATAATCCAGAACAGGCATAAATCCCTCTTGGTGGTTCCTAAAAGTGTCAACATAAATCTACTTGTCAGGACTATTTTCTTTGTCTGTGTTTCCTGGGAGTAATTAATGATAATAGTGATTGATAAGCTTTTATGCTTAGGATTGGTAAATGAATTAAAGTAAATGATGGGCTTGTAGTGAAGCTGTGCTCTGGGTGGCCTGTCATTTCTTTGGGGCTGTAACCCTCACATAGTTTCACAACTATGTTTGTATTTCCAGTGAATGCCTGTGTGATCACAGAGTTGTGATTTAAGGGTAGCGTGGGGTGTCCTTTGATTATGATTAATGTTTTGATGATGTACTGCTGAGTTCTTGCCTACTGGAATAGCCATTGTCAGCTCAAGTCTCCAAAGGGAATGGCACCACTGGACCTATTCCATGTGCCAGAGCAGGTAGTGGTTGGTACTGAGATCCCATCCCGGCCTGAGAAGGATGTTTTTGTTTTAAAGTAATGTTTGTTGCAGAGATGACTTGCTCAGCTCCATCAGCCTCTGCCCAGGGTTTGAATTCCTGTTTTTCCTGGTTTACAGAGACCTGGTCACATGAATCCATCACTAAGAATCACAGTCACAGAATGGTTTGGGTTGGAAGGAACTTTAAAGCCCATCCCATTCCACCCCCTGCCATGGGCAGGGACACCTTCCACCAGCCCAGGTTGCTCCAAGCCCCGTCCAACCTGGCCTTGGACACTTCCAGGGATCCAGGGGCAGCCACAGCTTCTCTGGGCAACCTGTGCCAGGGCCTGCCCACCCTCCCAGGGAGGAATTTCTTCCTAATACCTAATCTAACCCTACTCTCAGTTTGAAGCCATTCTCCCATGTCCTGTCATTACATTGCCTTGTCAATGGTTTCTCTAAATACTCAAACAATTCTGAGTGCCAAATGCTCAGCAGTGGTAGAACAAGTCCTACCCTGTCCCCTTTTCCTACTTACATTTGCAGGATACATGAGTGACTTCTGGGCAGAGATTGGAAGAGATGGATTGCTTATGGAGTGAAAGATGCTTCCAGTTCTGTCCCAAAGCAGTGGCTGAATCTGACCACCCCTTTAGCATTGTAACCTCAGGACACTTCACGCTTAGTGTCAGAAGAGCCCTGAAGCAATCAGCACCAATGCTAATTAATAACTGCAAAGTATTTCTGGAGGTACTTAGGAATAGCTTAATGGAGTAGCAGGAGCTCTCTTTCCTTTCCCCCTCTGTTCTTAGTCCTGTTTTGGGCCTGTGAGACAAATACCTTGCACTGAAGCAGTAGAACAACATCCTGTTCTTGCTCTATAATGTTATTTATGATCAGTGCAAATTGACATAAGCATTCACTGTTCCCCCAAGAATGGTCCTACCCCGTTCCTGTTTCCTCATATCTGCTTGTCCCAGCATTTGTGCAGTCTCATGGTGAACCAGACTACACAAGAGGCTGTAATTAAAATGAATCTTTTTTGGTTTTTTGCAGTCAAAACTTGCCCACATCAATTCTCTGTTGTCCAACCCCCCTCCAAAAAAAGTGGGATTGAGAGCTGTAATGAGCAACCTGATCTAATTTTGAAGTAAGCCCTGCTCTGAATGGAGAGCTGGACTAGGTGACCCCTGAGGTTCCTTCCAAACTAAATCTTCCTGTGATTCTATGACCTCTGTAGGACAATAGGTTCTTTTATTGGTAGTGCCAGTTGCTGCTGGCTTGGGGTGACCATTAAATTATGGCTCAAAGAAAAAAAAGGTTGTGCATCAGCTGTTTTTCTCCACTGAGAAGAAATGGAAGCTGTAAATCTGTCTTGGACATAGGAAATGAGATGCCTTTATTTAGGATGCTACTGAGAGTGTTGGTGATGCCCTTGTTCCATTGAGGATGCTGATGTGACCTGCAAGATGTTTGTCTCTTTGTCTCAATCAAAGCCCTGTTCCACTGTAGGCTGGGGGCATATCCAGCACAGGAACCTTTAGTTTTCCTTGACCAGACAGAGATTTTTTGCAGAAGTTCCAGCACCAACTCTTCCTTTCCTTAGAAATGAAGGGTAATGGTTGTTTGTCCTTCGTTTGTGGCTTGTACATGAAGAATTCTTCTCTGCACAATGTATTAAATAACTTACACATTCTGTTTAATCTGCCAATACCTCATGTTGCCTTAAATTGAGAGTAAATACACACAGTTCCTTTGTAAACCCAGCATATCACCTGCTGTTCACCAGAACCCTGTCTGTCAGAGCCTGCCTTTGCTACTAGGGGTTCTGGGCTCAGTTGCCTTCCTAAGACAGCTTATTGTGTACTCCTTTTCTACAACATATTCCTAGACTTCTAGACAGAAATACCATTCACACATCAAACACTTACTCTTCTGTCCTCACCTGGAAAAAACCCCAACATAAACCCCAAACCAAAATGTGAACTGAGGTGCGCATTGTCACATATTGTATTTCCATTTTCTGTTTTCTAATTCTTGTGTCTGTGTTCTGAAAAAGCAGCCCAGCTAGGGGAGAGGGAGTTGCCAGAGGGCAGCCCCCAGACTGCACCCAGCAAGATCCAACGCAGGAATTGGCTCCAGGTAAGAAGCAGTTGGAAGGAATGGGTGCTTGAACTGATTCTTACTTCCTAAATCATTTCAGGGGAAATTGGTTACAACTTGTAGATAGTTGGGACTCCCATAGAATCTTGACTCGGTGTGGGTGCTGAGTGACAATGTGAAATAATTCTGTGGCCGGTTTTGTGTCTACTTTGAAGCCTGAAGAGGCAAATCTCATTGAAAGGGTCTGGTTTCAGTGACATCTGTCACAGAAACTTTTGTGGCCTGGACATGATTGGCTCAGTGTGTCCTCCAGCAGAACAGCTGTTGCTGGACATCTCTGATGGCAGCCTAGAGAATTTATCCAGTGCAAAGGATGGAGAAGCTCATTTTTGAGAGACATCCCTGCCTGTCACTGGTGTTCTCCACACTGCAATAGGATTGAGGGACACAAAAGTGTAATTTGCATGGCTTGAGTTGTAATTTGTCACAAATTCCTGTAGATCATAAGAGAGGAAAGTGCACAGAGATAATAAAAATATCCTATATATAAGAAATTTGGAGCCATTAGTTACATAGTTGTTGGTTCACTGCAGAAGCATCAATGGTCTTTTTTCCTTTTGGCCTAAAGAAGGATCTGAGTTAAGCTGTCAAGGAGCGTGGCTTAATTAACAGAACACTTGGGAATTCAGAACAATGGAGACATGTCACCCAAATAATTACCCTACTTGATTAGCAGCTTGCCTGGCTGCATGTCCAGTGGCTGGGGATCAGGGTCTGTGCCACTGTGGATCAATTATTTTTGCCATACAGGTTTGTTTCTCTTCCAGCAAATATTGCACATTTCGAGCTTTTAGGCTGCACTGCTTTATTTACCACCCTTACTGCTTCAAAGCTGAGTTTAATTACTTTTCTCAGCTGCTGTTTCTCCCAGTAGATCACTGCTTACACACTGGCCTGTCAGGACTTGTTTGCTAACTTTGCCAAATATGTAGCCAGTCATCACCTGTGTCATTCCAGTGAAGAAGGAGGCACATCCTCTGACTGGATTGGAAAGTCAACCAAACATGGGCAGCTATACTGAAAACTGGCTACTGTTTGGGACTGGCTTAGGATGATACCTTAAATCTTTTATCCAGTTGGATGGGAAGGTAGCAGTTATCCTAAGGACCAACTGGAATGATTTAGCTAAGGAAATGTGCAACCACTGAGTAAGATGGAGGTTGTGCTATTCAGCAATTTACTTCCCCAGTGATTTTTCCCTGTGGGATTTTTGGGTAGCTGCAACTCGTGTCCAAAACTGCCAAACTTGGGCTGTGCTAAGGTGTGTTCTGAGGGGGGAGGACAGACTGGCTGAAAGAACTTGATCTGTTGAAAGCCAGGTTGCCTTGGGAAATTCCCTCTGGGACATCTCTACCCCCTGTCACTTAAAGAATTGTAGAGGAGTGTGTGAACAGCAGATAATGAGGTTTAATATCACTGCTCAGGCTTCTTGGTCACGTTATCTTTAACGAGACCATCCTCTTGTCATTGTTTCACTTATGAGACACTGGGGCAGCAGCAGCAGGTCAGGAGTTTGACCAGGGTGGTTAAATCATTATTCAGAGGCCCAAAGGTGAGCTCAGGGAGGACAGAAACCTTCTCTGGAACAAAGGGGAAAAGCACAGTGCTTGATACAGACATCATTATGTAAAATGTGATGATTATTTTAGCACCAAAGACATCTAGTTTCTTTAAATGCTTCTTTTAACAGGAAACTGTGGCAATTAAAACAGAAAAAGGGGGTAAGCTCTACGTTAAACCATCTCTTCAGTACTCTGAGGATTTTGAACCTTATGAAAGCTTGGCCTTGGAGACAAATGGTGGTGATCCTCTCCATTACTCCCAGGTACAATTGGCAGCTGCCTTCTATTATTCATGGTAGTGTCATTTGAAATGTGAAAGGGCCCAGGGGTCAGTCCTGGCTGGTGTGTGCAAACCCAGATCACAGTGGTTTCTTCATTAGCTGATTTTGCATTGTTGAGATGTGACTTAAGGAAGGAAAAAATGAGAAGTAAAACTTCTTTTGAAAATCTGGTCTCAGTCAGCAACGCTGCAGAGCACTAAGTCTTTTTTTAAAGAGCTAGAATGTTGTCCCTGTTGGATTGAATCAAGGCATTCCCTGCAAGGAGCCTCTTCCACTTCATGGCTGTCCGTGTGAACATCACTCTTGGCTGTCAAGTTAGAGAAGACTGAAACAACTTTTGCTGGGTTTAGGTTAGCTTTTGAATAATCATGCTAAAATTGTTGCATGTAATTGTTTTACCTAACACAAATCAGACTATAAAGTTTTAAAAATATTTGAATCAGTACAGTTGCTTTCCATCAAGGGTTGTTTTCGTACGGACTGTGCAGCCTGCTCTTTGATTACTAATTGCACTTTGTTCCAGCACACCTCATGAATGACCTGTCCTTGAAAAAGATGAACAAATGAACAAAAATTTATGGATGTTTTTCTGCTTAACCAATGAATGACATCAATAAAGCTTTTCTGGGTAGTGGAGTAGCGTCTGTCTGTGAAACTGTCTGCAGATCTTATCACTGACATCAGACAAAATTCCCAAGCATATTTTCTGAGCTTGCACCTGTCTCTCTTTCCTATATTGCTCTTGAGTTTATGATTATTTTTTGCTCTACAAACTGCTAACTTGTTTACAGTGGTGGATATTTGTAATCTTTAATAATTTTAACCCCAAACCCCCCACTTTTCTTTTTATTCCAGATGGAAAATAGTTTTTGATTTTCCTGAAGCTGTAATGTGTTTTCTTGAATGTCTTGCTACAATGCAGATGCCTGAGGTTTCAAACCAGAAGAAAGCCTGTACAATTTCCTGTCAAACACCTAGAAATATTAGTCTAGGCTATCATAAAGACATGCTCCATATCAAGGCTCAGGTTGCTTATAAACCCTCTTTTGAACCTACCTTTGCCTGCTCTTTGTAATATGCATCTGTCAACATGGATTTCCTAACAAGTGTAATCTGTAGCAGCTTGAAGCTTTCATTGCAAACTGAACATTCACTGTCACAGTTCATTTGTACCTGAAGTGGCTTCAGGTTTTCATCTTATGCAGTTTGCTTGCCTGTATTTATCTCAAAACTCTAATATTAACAAAACAGGGAGGGAAAAAGCATTTAAGGGGTGTGAGGTCTTTTCCTTTTGCCTTCATAAAAGCACACAGCTCCCCAGCATCATCTGTGCTGTTTGTGCCACATAATGAAAGAGGCGAGGCAATTTTTTTCCACAGCAAATTTCAAAATAGATTAATTTTTGCATTAAATCCTGTTACAGTGTGTTCACTTCAAAAAATCTGTGCAAACTGGGAGCTTAACCCATTAGACCACAACTCTTTTCTGCTGGTTTTTGGAGTACAGATGTTTACAAGGCAGGGCTATTACAATCTATCCAAGTGCTCATAAAGAATTGGATGTTACATGGTATTGGCAGTCCTGTGAAAGCATTTGGAAATTCTGGATTGCAGCTGCTCTTTAAATAGAGACTGGACAAATATGTGCCCTTGCCCTCTCCATTACTCGCCTCCTGTTTGTAACTTATTCCTAAAAATTGGTTTTGCAACATAAAAACTCCTTGGCCTACACAATGTTCCTGCCAGGATCCTGATGAGAAGGGACAAAGGAGTTATAGGATGAGTTTTCTTTACAAGCCTCATCAAAGGAGTGAAGACCTGATGGAGGACTGTGAATATTTTTAGCTGCATCGTGGCTCTGAGTTCATGAGGACTTTTTTTTTTCTCTCCTGGGGAGGACGAGGCAGCCACACTGGTTTGTTTTAAAATACATATTTGAGCTTTTCTGACAGATCTGTTTGTGTTGTACCAGGGATTGAGGAGCAGCTTGCAACACAGTGTGGAAGAGGAAGGGATGGAAGACGACTCTCTTAGTGATGACTGTGACTCTGTTGAAGAGGATGTGTTTTCAGAGCCATCTCCCACTGAGGAAGAAGTTTCAAGCTTTGAAGACCTTCAGTTCCATGGCACTGGGTCACTGCAGAAAGAGGTTTCTGAGCATCAGAATGCTGGGAGATGCTCTGGCCTCGATTGTGGTGCCCTCACTGTGCTGGAGTCCAACCAGGATCAGAGCAGTGAGTCTCTGTGTGCTCCACACTGCTCCAGTACTGCAGTGATGATTCTTTGAGAGCAGAGCTTTTAAGGGAATGGCTGCTGGTTAATCATTGGGGGTTACTCCATACTCTCATTTTAATCTGCAGATTTGGAAAATTTGCATCTTCTTGCTACTTTATTAAGAATTTTTTTTTTTTCAGACACAAAGATGTAGCCCTAGTTAATGCCCTGCATCACCAGGTCTAGACACTTGAACAAATATTGCCTCAGATTGTCTGTGGCATTTCTCAAGAAATTACTAGGTTTTTAATAGGGTTTTGAACTGTTTTTGCAGTAATTCAGGCAGCCAAACCTTCCCAGATGTGAACTTTGTGTCACATCCTGAGTGCTGGATACTTGTCACAGCGTGTGCTATTTATCTCTGATGAATTATATGAGCCACTTCTTTTTGTGTCCTTTCGAGACCTCAATGTCCAAACCCACAACCAGTCACCAGATCTCAAAGATATTTAGCTTGTCAAAGGTGAGGAGTTCAGGCGGAAACCAGACCTAGACCTACATTCAGTATTTCTCAAAATTCCCTCCCACTCATTTCAGGTTTAGTAATTGGTTTGGGTTGTTGGCTTTGTTTCAATTTTTCTTTTCCTTATTCATAGTTAATTGCATAAATTAAGAGGAACAATCTTTGAATAAATTGAGTAGAGGATTGTTCCTCTCATTGTCATCGATGTGAATTGAGTGTAAATGGGGATGGGGCAGAGGAAGAGATAGGAACAAAGGATGGAGCTGCAGTGAGAACAAGATCTTTGGGAGAATACATGATCTACTGTCTAGAGAGGAGTTTCAAAACCTGCAAACAATGGAGGCATTAATAATTCTCAAATAAAAAAGGGAAGAAGTACTCCTGGGCAACCCTCTAAATAAGACAAGATTTAGTCAGCATTTAAAATTTATTTTAGTGTAATGTGTTAACAAGTGACTCGGGAGTTCATTTTTATTTTGGCTTTTCTTGACAGTAATGCAGGTAAATACCTGGTAGAGATGAGATCTCTTGGTACATTCTAATAACATTTTTATTTCGTTTCACTAAGTGAAACGTGCTTCTGTAACAACAGAACAATATCAGTGAAAGGGAGGAAGATTATCACTTTAACAATGCCAACATAATTAAAGCAAAAAAACCTTAGCAGTTAGGACCCAATCATTGTTTTCCCGGGCTGGCTGCTCCTAAGTAACTTCCAAGTTGATTATTTCTGTTTCCTTTTCATGTTGCAGAAGTGAAGCCAGTGCGAGTTCTCTCTGCAAAGAGGAAGGACAGTGCTGAACTGTACATTCCTGTCAGACCAGTCCTGGTGAAAAGCAAAGCCACTCGGCCACTCTCTGCTGAGTTCTTGCACCAGGAAAGACACGAGAAGAGTTCTTCTAGTAAGAAATAAGAATATGTGATGTCAATAAGGAGAGTTTTCATGCTTTCCCCTCTTCTGGCTCAGATGCAATTTCAGCACATATCTGTCATTATGTGATTTTTTTTTAGCTGTCCCTGTCCTGCTTTTTTTTAGTTGTTTTTAACAACTCGAATGTTTTCAGTAAAGTTGTGAGAAGATCCAGAGCCTGCATACTTCAGTCTTCTGCTACTATCTTCCTTCTCTTTTTGTTCCTCTGCCTTTTCCACTGGAGATCAGTCTCCTGTGCTGGGTAGATATGCCAGTATCTAAGACCATTCTGGAAGATATTTTTCCTGGACTGAAGAACAACATTTTTCGGGCACTGCTGCTCATTCTAAAAATCTGCTGCTAAAGTGTGGTCTTCACCTGGGGAAAAAAACCAACAGCACACACCAAACCCCAGATCTAGGGCTGAAATCATGACTGCAGCTGTATTTCAGTGCAGTCCTTAACAAGTCTGATGAGTTTTGAGAGGTCTGAGATGAAGTTCTCAGACATGCCATACTTTGTGGTTCAGATGCTCTTTTCAAAAGAGCAAAATCCACTTGTGTCCCAAGAAAGCAATAAGGCTAATGGTTTTGAGAAGTCCAAATATTAGTTTCTTAATTGGCAGAAAACCAAATGGAGGAAAAGAAGCTAATTCTTTTTGGCTCCAGAATAAATCCCCTTTGTAGCTTCTGAGACCCTCACCCACCATCTGTCTGAGCAGATGCTTGCTTTGACTGCTTCCCAAAGATGTGTGCAGCATTTCCTCAGGTTATAATAGTGCTTCTTGGAACTGTTTCTGCCCAACCATCACGTTAAAGCTTTAATTTCATTTCAGGGGGATGATGTAGTGCAGAAAAATAAACAGGACTTTATCCTGTCCCCGTTTTTGCAAAGATGGATAATGCCTGTTGGAAGTTTTCTTGTGGAAAGGAGTGTGAATGCCTGCAAATCTCAGCTCAGTTTTAATTTCTTGTCTTTTCAGGGTAGACCTCATGTTACTTGCATCCCCTGCACTGTACTCTCCTGCTTAGTAAACCTCTCTGCAGCATTGTGAGCACTCTGAAACATCAGCCTGTTCTTCAGTATTTGCACTCAATCTGAATGTCTGTACAACTTCAGCCTCTTTTCTTCCCTTGACTTTTAAAGTCCTCAGCTATAACCACTGCTCTTCACTTTTAGTCTCTTTAGTCCAATCTCACATCATCTGTTGTTAAACTTTATTTCCTTTCTTTTAAACCTGTTTATAGGCTGTGATGTTTCTATTTCTCCTTGAAGTTTGGGAAGATTGGGATGTGTATGGGCATTGTGATGACTACCCAAGTGATAAGGTGACTTATTCTGCCTTGCAGATAGCAATTCCTGGCCCCCCTTGCTGTGCTAGAAGACTCCGGGGGTTCCTCCAAAATAGCTGAACACCCCAGTTACACTGCAAAATCCTGCTGTGCTTAAATTATATATTCTTTTCTTTCAATGGGCTATCACAAGGCATTTCCACTAAATACCAGAACAAAGCAATCCAAAAGCATAAAAATTACGTTTCTCATTTGTCAGTTCCCCTGTTGCTATGATGCTGCTTTAACTGTTGTCTCAGGTAGATGTGAACCTTAATATAAAACCAAATGGCAGGAATTCAGCCTGGCTTGGGATGGTTACTGCAAAACCTGGGGTCATAACTGAATTGGATGTTTCAGATGGAGGCTGCTGTGATGTTCATGTCCAGACAAATGGATATTTCTTCCCTCTTTTGGTGGCAGGAGCCTCAAGTCGACCGGAGAGGTCCCTGTCGGTAACTCGGAAGGACGTGTGTGAGAAGGACCCTGATCTCTCCGTTTCAGCCGTGGTGCAAGCCATGAAAATTGAGAATGAAGCCTTGCAGAGAGACCTGCAAAGTTCCACAGGCCCTCAAAAGGTGTGGGAAATACCAGAGAGAGCTGTTTGATCAAGCAGCAAACTCCCCCCGATGAATTACAATCTCTTACACATCAACGTTGTGTATGAATGGATGGAGATGCCTCTTAAGTGTAATTGAATTTGTATTATTCTTCCATAGGGTTGTTTTCCTTAATCTCCTTCCCTAGAATAGCATCCCACAGCTCTCTCTTGATTACAGGGATCACTGAGCAGCTGATAGACCAGCCATATGATGTGTCTGTACAGTCAAGTGCACAGCTGCAGGCCCAGTTGAGCCATTTTCATCCTGGAAGCTTCTTAAACGAGATAATGTGTGATTTCCCTACCAATAAATCCTACATTCCTGCTGGACTCTTTAGTACGGGCACTGCTCCCTGTTAGTACAGTGTCATGTAGGCTGCTAGATCTGACTGAGGAGGAGCTGGTATGGGTTTTCTGTGTGTGCATCTCTTATGTCCAACAACCCTCTTTAAAAACAAATTAAACCTCAAAAAACAAACAAACAAAAAATCAATAAAAACTAGCAAATATGTCGAGTACAGGCAGAGAAGGGGCATTGTAAGAAATTTAGCACTTTTCCTCTGTTGTCTTCTAGGTAGTCACTGATAGTTCTGTATTTAAAAAATAAATAATTTTTTTATTCTAATGAAACTTAGGGGTCTGGGGATTTAAAAGTCTTTATGATCCATTTTTGGAGAAGGAGAAAGCCAGTAGACCTGTGCCAAAATTTTGGCCAACCCTGAGTCTTACCAAATGTATAGAATGACATTTTATATATTTTACATATATATATATGTAAATATTTAAAAGTCCTCAGAATATGCTTTTATGTTAACTTTTCTTCCATGTAGAAGATCAAGCTCCATGCTTTCATTTCAAATCAAGACCAGTTCTGTTAAATGTGCTTTAACTCAGTGCAGAGTTACAGATGAGCTGGGCCCAAACTCTTATTTATTCCAGAGGTGCAGACTGACACTCATTGGTATGTGGAGAACAATCTGAATGAAACATGTTCATCTTTTTCTTCCTTAGAAGAAATCTTCTGTGTCATCTCTTGTTTCCTCGATGACTGAACCTCCAGAAAAAAGCCAGACAAGGAGTGCAGTGACAAAAGCTGAGAGAATCTGTCCTTCTGGAAGCAGGTATAGATATATTTGCTTTAGGCTAACTTCCTTTTTTTTTTTTTTGAAGAGAGATTTTTCAGAATGCCACTACACCTGGTAATCTTCAAATCCCTCAGACACCAGGCAAAGTAGTAGTAGAAAATCAGGGACTCCAGCCTTGGGCCAGTCTTTGCAGAGCAGGGATCTGCCAGCACCTTCCTTTATTGTGTTGATATAACCTGTGCATTGCCTTCTCAGAACCAGCTGGGAACCGGAGCCCAAATTTTTAACCAAACCCCGTGTTTTTAAGATGAGATGCTGCAACAGTTCTCACTGGGTGTGGGGCTACGTGAATTTTTCTGTGGGGTGCGTGGGTTCATTTTATAATCTTTTCACACCAACTAAACTGCTTCTTAAAAATGCAGGAATTATGAGGAAGTAGCACATGAAAGGATATGTCGTTTCAGACAAAAGAAGAAACCTCTGAAAGTCTTTCTGGAGCATGAGAGCCATTCTGCTGGTGACAATGACAGATCCCTGGCTGATGACAAAGCTGAAGTAGATTCCATGTTGAGAGAGAAGGTTTGTGTGTATTTGCAACATAATTGAGGCTTCCCAGAATTACTAAAATAAAAGTACAGTGAATGATCTGCATTCCACTGATTCTGCCCCATGTCAGGTGATAAACCCATGGCAGGGTTTATCACTTCATCAGAATGACAAAGGAATCAGACAGGGAACAGGGAGCTGTTTTCTCTTTGGGCTTTTTAAGAAGGTTGGTGTGTGGCAGAACTGGTGGAACCCAGAATGAGCTGAATGCCACCCACATAGCCTTGACCTTGCAATCTTTTTGCTTCTGACCCATCAACACTGCAATCTTAACGGTGTTTCTTTTGTCCCACACTTTGTTGTTTGGTCACTCAAGGTTTTTGCCACATTTCCCTCTGGTCCAGGTGACAGCCAGCATGGAAGTTCGTGATGCCATTTATGTGACTATGGAGCTGCTTTCTAACTGGGGGAATCCAGTCAACGTGGGCCTGAGCCAGGTGGAGTTCTTTGATTTACACAACGAGAAGATCTTTGTGTCTCCCCATGACGTGGACATTCGAAATGCTGACAACCCGGGGGATTTGTGCTGCCTGGTCAAGAAGAACTTAAATGTAAGACAGCCTAGTCCTGGATGTTAAAATCTCTCATTATAATATAATATTTTTATCACCAGGTTTTTTTGTTCAGAAACATGATTGCATTTTGAACCTGACTGCATAACAACTATGACAATTTAAAAGACTGCAAATGTTGCTTATTATTAACAAGTCCAGCTTTCCTGTCCAAGATGTTCGTGTTCAGTTATAACATTGCTTTAGAACAGTCTTTGATTAGTTTGCCTGACTTGCTTAGCTAAACAATTGGATGGAGGAAGCTTTTGATCTGCCTCCTTATATATTAATTCTGTGGCATTGTCTTGGATAAAGGGACCCATTCAGTTTTTAGGTTTTGTGCTGTAGAATGAGATCACAAAACTTTAGGAACAGTGAATTTCACCTTTTTAGAGTGTGTGTGCTGATAAACTGAAGTAATTTTTGTGGTCTGAAGGTATAGAAGCTTCACTGCTAATTTCTTTCAGATGCTTAATATGAATTTAATAGGAGAGTAGAAAGAGGGTAAATATGCAGTGTTTTGAAATTTAGTTGAAACTCAGGATGGAGCATTATTTCCAGACAAATATTTTTACTTGAAACATCTTTCTTACTATCTCCTGAACACTGTAGTGTGGTGTCTAAATATCCATTCTCTTTTACAGGCTTTGTGTCTGGCAGATGACACTCAGTAGTGGTAGTGGTGACTCTCAGACTCTCCAGCTAATTATAAATTATGTAGTAATACGTTCATTAAGCCATTATAAACCTGTTATTCTCAGCATTACTCATACATTTATATATCCCATTATTCTTAAGTAATGAGGTTTTACATTTCATTGATTAACATATTCCTTGGATTTGTGACACTGGAATCTCCTCTCTTGAAGCTGGAAGGGTATTGCCTCCAAGATGCAATCTGGAGAGGGAACACAGTCATGTGATACCTGAACTGCAGGTTCCTTCAGCAGTCAGAGCAGCATTTCCAGTCTGTGTACATTTCAGGAGAGCTTTTGGGTGCATTAGAAAAATAAATAAATTAGTCAATCTCCAAGCAACTAATATTTTCAACAGAACAAAAACTTGACATAAAAACTTATTACGTGGAAAACTCCTTTTGCCATGGTTAAAACGCTTCCATCTTCCATCATTTAGGTGTACATTTGTCTTTGAGAATAGACAACAGATTGGCTTACTGGAGATCAGGGATTTTATTTTGTTAGTTTATTTATTACCCTTGCAGACTTTTAAGAAGAGCACTTAAATTGCCTCCTTCCTTGTACTTTGTGATATACTATAAAGGAACAAAATGCCTGGCAGAACATCAGGTGCTCTCAACTAACTCGATTTAGATTAGAGATAAGGGAGAAATAGAGTGAGGGTGGGGAGGCCCTGGCACAGGTTGCCCAGAGAAGTTGTGGCTGCCCCTGGATCCCTGGAAGTGTCCAAGGCCAGGTTGGACGGGGCTTGGAGCAACCTGGGCTGGTGGAAGGTGTCCCTGCCCGTGGCAGGGGGTGGAATGAGATGAGCTTTAAGGTCCCTTCCAACCCAAACTATTCTGGGATTCTGTGATAATGCTTGATAAGACATAGATTAGGTATTGTATTGAAATGGTTCTCTGTAAACCTTTCTGATTCTTAGACACATATATAGGTCTCTTAAACCTCAGAATAACAAGGACAGGTAACTGTAATTCTAGAAATATCTAACCAAGGTATTTCTTCCCAATGGTGAACCCTTAGACCCACATCATTCCCCTTCACAGTGCTTGAGTCTTCCTTTGCTCTCCATCAGGTGCCCCCACACAAACCAGTGTCCCAAAAAAATCTAAGAGTAGAGGTTTCCCCTCTCCCTTTTTTGCCTTGATCCGGTTCAAATGCAATTCCAGCTTCTTAACATGTATCAGGTTCACCCTGATGGTTCAAAGAATTTTTTAGGCTGGATTTTCCAGCTCTATTTGCAAAGACAGTAACCCCAGACTCGAGTACGTCATGTGAAGGCAAAGACATCACCATCACTCTTTGTGATAAAACATGAGAGTCCTCCACAGTCTCGAGAGTTTTTGTGTGGATTCTTCAAGGTGCCTTCAGTTTGTGGTGTGAAGTCTTTGGCATGCTGATGGGCACTGTAACACCTGTGAGACTGTGCAATCCCAGTCCTAAGCAGTTACTTCCACTGATAAACCAGAGATCTCTTTGCCTCTCACTCACAGCACTGGCCTGGCTCTGATGTACCTCCTGTTGTTTGGAGGGTCACCTGCAGCTTTACAGAGAAACCAGTGAGAAGCATGGAGAGTTCTTTCCAGAGCCCATTTTGGTGCTGAATCAGGAACCCTCCTGTGAAGGCACCTCTGGCTCTCAGTACACACCAGAACCTGCTGATTTCTGGGGCATCAGGTGCTCGCTTGAGAGGTCTGCAGGTGGATTGCTCATCAGATGTTGCCTGCTGTTGGGAAATTATTTTTTAACCATTCTTGTTCATAGTATGACTTCAAAACCACGAAGCAGCTTTGAAGTTGACCCTGGAGTTGGGTTCACGCTGATTTGAGGGCTATCTTTCGTTTCTTTGATGTTAAGAGGCATCTTTCTGTTCTTCAGTAGAAAGTATTAAACCTCTCTGGCACTCTTATGGCTGTTTATGCCCTAAACTGACATTAAACACAACAAGAGTCTCCCAGAGCTTTTTGAGAGGCTTCTGGGGCAGAGCCATCGTGACCCGTGGGAGTTTGGAATGTGGAGATGACCACTGTGACAAGTGGATCTATTCAGGATATCTCTGAACAGGCTGCAGAGCTCTGTCCTCACCATCATTAGGCACCCAGCTAAAGTACTCAGGAGGAAAGTTTTGTGGTTACTGCCTTCAGTAAAATGTGAAAGACTCACTTCAGAGTGAAATGTTGTGGAAAAACACTGACTGTGTACCTACTGTGTCACTACATGTACTGTGGATCCTTGAGAACAGAAGGGGGGCTGATTTATCTCCTCATCTCACATCACTGACGTGTTACCTGCATGTGTATTCACTTTGTGCCCTTCTGCAGCTCCTTTATGATAACATTTGACATCAAGTACATTAATATTCGACATTTTGATTCTGAAACTCTTTCCTCCTGGCTTCTTTCTGAGGTGCCACACATCCTTTTACTCCACGTCTCAGCATGTAGAGATAGCAGTTCTTAACAATTTTCAGAATTGGTACTTTCAAGTCTCTTGATGGCCAATTGTATGTAAAATTCATGTTGGGAGTTTCTGTGAAATCTTTGAAAATAGCAAGTGTGGAGTTCTGTGCAGCTCCAAGGAATAGATCTGTAAGTGATGTTGGCTGTCTGCAAAGCCTGATTAAAATAGAGCCAGGCAATGAAGTAAAATTCTATAAGACTCCCCTCTTCAGAGAGCAAAGCAGAAGTGTAAGCACAGGAAGAAATCATAGAATGATTGTCCAGCATCCATTGTGCTCAGTGATCCCCTCTAGTACAGGCAAAGCTGATTAATTTGATTAAAATAAACTGGGCTTGCTCTGACCCTGCAGTTCCAAAGCAGGGCAGGCTGCCTGTGGTTTGTGAGTGTGCAGATGCCTCGCTGGGACAGCGAGCAGCTGACCTTTATCTCCTTGTCAGGTTCTTGGGAGCTGCCTTAGAGGCAGGAGAGTCGGATTTGCTGCTGGGAAATGAGGTTGAGGTCTTGCTCTTACGTAGTAGATTTGATTGAATTTCCTAATCTCTGCATATTGTGCTGGGGGGTGGGCAGTTAATTAAAGTTCAAACCCTGCTTGAGGAGGAAGAGTTGGTGACAGTCTGCTTGTGTTGTGTTTTTAGCTCAGGAAGGAAAGCTGCCTCTGGATGTGCCCTTTCCATCCGCCCATCCAACTGTACTTTGTTATCCGCAATCCCACCCGGTCATGTGACTTTGGTCTATCCAAGATCAAGATCTGGAATTACAGCACAACAACTCCCAGTGTAAGTAGTCTTTTCTCAACTGCTCTGTGTGTTTGCTCTGCCTTGCCTAGGGAAATTCAATCTGCTCTTCTTTCCAAAAGCCTGAAATAAAAATAGATACAATTTTCTCTGATAAAATAGGAGCTAAGAGGTATCCTTGTCTGCTGCGAAATTTGCTTCTGTCTTAATTGTAAGTGGTAACAACGTGGTGATAATGTTTTCATAGGCACAATGAGCATTTTCTTTCGAAGCTATTAAAGATCTCTAAAGACCTAATAAAAGGCTTGCATATTCTGTCACTTAATCCTTTACTGTGGTGAGAAATAAAGATTCAAAGGTAAGTGCATTCAGGACTCTCAGTTGTTCTATCACAATATAACTATGTGTTTAAATATGTGTTTTCTCCTGTATAGAAATGTAAATAGGCTGACTGTTGCTCAAGTTTGGGTTTGTTGCTTTAATTAGAAGCATAAATTGGTTTGGGTTGGAAGGACCTTAAAGATCATCTAGTTCCAGCCCCCCTGCCATGGCCAGGGATAATTAAAAACTCCACCACTGTGTGCTCATAATAAAACAATCTACTGTTAGAAGAGAGACATATCATGGCAGATGGCAGATGGTCTCTTGTCTCTGTGTTTGAATGTCACCATGAAAATTATTCTTGTTTGTACACTGCAGTGTTAAGAAAGAAATCCCAGGTACTGGATCAAAGAGGATTTGCTGTCCTGGATTATGAATAAGAGGGTTTATCCCTCTGGTTTTGCTCTCATCCATGTTCTTATATAAGCACATATGGTAATTTATACATATGGAAATGGTCATGGAAGGGGCAGCTTATGCAAATTTACTATTACATGATTTGTGTTTGTTTTCCTGGAATTTTAATTGCTTTTCCCGGTAACATTGCGGTCTGCAGAATGTTCCATCATCATTAGAGTGTGCTGTTCTTGGAGGTAATGGTAGGATTTGTTACCAAACCTCCTGAATATAATGCAGGAAGTGCAGAGAAATGAATGTCTCTGTGTCAAGGCGCTGCTTTTTTAATAAACTGCTATGAGGCAATCTGTAAAATCCACTGGGAGTGCAATCCCATGGATTTTGGTGGAAGTGCAGCAGTTTATACTTATTAAAAAGAAGTCTCATTATCCTTAAGGTGAAAAAATAGCAGGCAGTTCTGTCTAGTTCTGTAATTTGTCATGAGGATGTTTTGTCTGAGAAGTATAAACCCCAAAAATATAATTAGCTCACAATTTTCTTCCTGCTTAATGTAAGTCCAGAGCCAGATTGTGTGGATTTTTGTAATCATTCTTACTGCCTTTTCCCCCTCAAACAGCACCTAAGCCAGAGGTGCCCAAGTACTTCTTTCAAAAATAGGCAAAAAACTAAGTCAGGCCAGTACTTTGGTATGTTTGGGTTTTAGAACATTAGTCTATAAGGAGAAAAAATGGGTTTGAAGGAAGCTGTAAAAGTTGGATGACATCACTGCCATAGATTCCTCGATTAATTGAATTACAAGGAAGGTATCAGAGGATGCTTCATCTTGCCTTTCTTTACTTCAGGTGAGATCTGCGAAAAAGGAGGTCACTTTTAGTCTGCAAGAGGGGAAGAAGTGTAAGAAAGGGCAACCAGTTCTTTTCAAAGTTGTCTGCAGTCGTCAGACATTTTATATCTACCTGCTGCAGTCTTCAAATTGCATCGTTACTCGATGCTGTTAGAACTTTTTTTGTAAGATCCAATATAATGTCTGTGGTGTGTCTTCACAAATCTGTGAATGGAATCAATACTGTAATGCATTAAAGTTGTCTTTGTTCTCCAGCTGAATCATTTTCTTCTTCAAGTGGTTGCCTCCTGTGCATATGCTCATGTCCATTCTCTTGAGCTGGAGATTTTTTCAGTGCTGGATTATCACTTGAGGGTCTGTAAGGCTGCAGCAGCTTTGTTACAGCACCCTTAATTTTACAGAAAAACTTTTTTCTTCTCATTCTTGAATTATTTTCTATTGCTCCTTCTTTCTCACACTTCTGTGAGAAGTGAGGCAGAAGCAATTTCGAGTCCTTTATCCAGGGGTAATTCTCAGAAAAGTGCCTCTGGTTTTATGCTTTGTCCTTCGTGCACAAATATCCCTGAAATGGCCAGGAATTCCATCCTTATTGTCTCACTGGGAGGCACCATCCCAACAGGCACTCTGAGGGCTGAAGGTGCAGGCTGGCAAGGAACACCAAGAGAAACTCTAGACTTATTTCCAGAAAATATATCTTTTTTTTTCCTTTCTGACACTGCTCATACCTCCCTGTTCTCTCTGAGACATTGTGCCATTTTAATCAGTCTTCCAGGAGGAAAAAAAAACCCAACCTGCCTTTGGATGAGGTGTTGGGTATTTGTTTACAGGGTGGAACTACCCATGTGGAAGGGACTTTTCCAGCCTCCTCATGCTCCAGGAGAGCAGGGCAGTGGTATCAGTGAAGCTAAAAACCATGGTGTCAGTGTTTCCCACCAGAACTGATCACTGAAAGCTCCAAAGAGGGGTGGGAGGGAATCAAAAAGAGCAATTCTTAATCTTGTGCCTGGGTATGTTTGTTCTTGGAGTCTCTGAGATCTGTTTGTGTAATTTTTCCTCCCCGAGGCTCAGTCTGCTTTAGGATTTTGGGGCAAAAGATTTTCATTAGCTCTTCTCCTGGTTCTTCCCTGAATAGATGATTTTCCTGAGCTATCAGCTGTTCCTAATGCCTGCCCCACTTCAGTCTGTCTCTATTGTCCTACAAATATCTGTAGCTTTGCCTGGTTCATCTGGACACACTTCAGACACCTCTTTTGCTTGCTATAATACCTATCTCAGACATTCCAAAGCATCAGAGAACAGGAAGTCTTTTTCCACTGACTGAAATAGTAATTTTGAAGTGACTGGCCCTTTTCTGGTCTTCACTGTCCCTCTTTCAGGGAAAATGACCTCCACCCTCTCGTTTTTGTTATGTTCTCTGCCCTCCTCTGGTACTGGTGAGTGGAGTGGGATTAATATCAAAGCAAGTTACTCTGAAGAAGTTGCTGATTTTAATTTAAAAAGATGACTTTGACAATTGCTTTTCAAATGGATGTGTGTATTTCTGTGGTCCCATGCAGTTTCTATCTGTTTCCAGGTGAAAATGCAGAACTAAGGGCTGAGTGTTCCTAACGGCAGTACAGGCTGGGATATTATGTAGAAATGTTGCAGTTATCCCAAATTCCGCTGTGAATGTCCAAAACCTTCAGCATTTAAGGAGGACACTGGCAGTCTAGACATACAGAAATTTAAAAAAAAAGAACGTTTCTGGGGCATCCTGATCTTCTTTCTCTTCCCCATCCTAATTTCAGGCAAAGCCGTGTAGGTAGTTTTTAAAAGATATAATTATTGAAGTGTTTTGATCCCCAGTTCGAGCAATCCATCAGTGTCCTCATTCAAGGGGAAAAAAAATACCACATTTTATGGCCAAATGCATCAGTACAGGCTTATAGCACTTTATGATACTCGTGGAGTTCCACAGGCAGCCCTGCCATAATGGCCAATTAAACTGGGTTTACAGCTGTTCTTTGAGAAGTTACTGAAGGTTATTTTTCCCTATCAGGAATGTGTCTCACATACCTACACCTGCTTCCCTCCCTCAGCTGTAGCTTTCTTGTTATCCCTGCATCTTCTGCTTTTCCTGTGGGTAGGTCCATATCACGTTTTTTTACACCTTAAACAAGTGTCTTCAGTAGTGAAGGGCCAGAGGCATTTGTGTTCGTAGGGGAAGGAGTAACTGGTTTAGTTTGGAAGCAGAGGAAAATTTCCATCAGTATTCAAGGAGGACTGACATCCAGGAGATGAACAAGAGGGATGAAACTGAAACTTCTTACTTTCATGAAAAGCTTCTTAGTTTTCATGAAAAGAAGGAAAGAACAGAGAGTCTTTTTAAGGCTCCACGAGATGGACACGTTACTGAAAGTTAGAGAACAGAAAGGAGATGGATTTTGTCTCATCTTCTATATTTTCTTTGAAGATAATGGTATTTTTGTCAAGAGGGAGAAAGGGTTAGATCGAAATGGTGAAGAGAATAGAAAGAACATTAGTTCCAACTTAAATGGGATGAAAAAATCAGGTATTGGTGGGTGCCACAGAGAAGGAGAACATAGAGATAAAGTTGTGAGTGGCAGAATTGTGCCTGAGATAAAGGCCTTCTATTTAAAAGGCTAGTTAAGTGTTGGAATAGGCTATCAAGGCAGATTAGTTGAAAACTGTTAAAAACAGATTTCTTCTCAATGGTACAGGTTATTTTACATTCTTCAGTGGAAAAAGACGGACTGGATGATTAATTTTTTTTTGCTGTCCTGTCTGGCTCTGTTATTTCTTTGTAACTCTTTTTAACTCCAGTGGCTTTGATCTGGATAGTTGTTCACTGTGGAATGTGTCGTGAAAGGGATGAATCTTCCAGATGTGAAACAAAATGTGCTTCTGAAATTTATATGCTGATCAAATATAATTATACTTAGTCTAGGCTTCTTCCCTCAAACTTATCTAAGTAATCAAGCCTTGTCAGACAAAATGGTTCGTAGTAGTGCCTAGCAGGGCTTTCAGTCTTTTTAAATAAAATCTTAAATATTCCACAGTTGCTTGAGCTTTAGATTAAAAGGTAGTCAAAAGCATGTAACTGACATAGGGTTTAATTGTTTTCATCTGTCTATTGATTAAATGTTGGAGTGTCAGAGTCCCAGAACAGTGATATCTAATGCTTGAAAGCTTAATTGAAATCTTTATGCTTTTATTTTTGTAGGACCTTGATGTCGGAGCGAAGAAGGTGAAGTTATACGTGGATGAGAACCTCGTATTTGAGGGTGAATTAGAGAGAGCCTCTGGAGATCTCTTTGCTGACCATAACACTACAATTGACCTTACAGATCACAAGCAAGGTATCTCTGCATCTCCCTCAAGTGAAAGGAAAGAAGTAAATGCAGCTGCAGGCACAGACAGGAAAGCAGACCTACATTTTAAATGCTCAGAATCAAGCAGTACTTCACTAAACTGGAAATCTCTGCCAGAAGAAAATCTTCTTGAGCATAAAATGAACTCAATCAGCTTCACAAAGAAACATTTGCCTGAGTTAGAGGATGATCTAAAAGCGTTGCCATCTCAAGTTTGTGTAAAGGATGCCAAAGAGAATTCAGCAGGAGCAGCAGTTGCAGAGCACGTTCCGTCTGAAGATGATGAACTCTCTCTGAGCGAACAAATGGAAAAGTTAACAGGGAGGAAACTGTCTGATTCCACAGGTGCACTTCCACCTTGGTTACAGTCATCTTCCCAAGTCGCTGAGAACAGCCAAGTTACTCCCAGTAAGCAGAAGCCTTCCTGGCTTGCTACAGAACAGAGTTTAGGCTCTAGATTTCCAACTCAGTCTGATGGGATCCTGAAAAACTTTTCAGACCTGACAAATGAGGATGGCAAATGTCAGAGGAATGAGCTGGGAAGACCCAGTAGCAGGAATGCAAATGGAGATGAGAGGTCACTAATGCTGACCAGGAAGGATGGTGATGTGGGCTTGGACATTTTGGAGCCTAACAGGAATTGCTGCAGCTCACAGCACCCTACGAGCGGAAGGAGAAGTGTCAGATGTGGTAAAAAGCTGGGATTAAACACTATAAATCTTGGAGAAGAGGATTCTGCCCTCAAAGGTAAGAGGTCACAGCAGCAATCTCAGTGCAAGTGCTGACATGTTCTCCATTTTGCACAAGCACAAACTCATTTAAGTGGAAGGCACCTCTTGAGGTTCCTGGAGGTGTAGACAGGGGGATTTTAGTTTTGCTTTTTGTGGTATTTTCCTCACTCATACTCTGATAATACTCAGACTCTCTCTCCCTGTCCTACACCTGATGTGAAATAGTCTTCTGAAAAATTTACATTCTGATTTAGTGGGTTTTAATTTATTTGGAGCAGATGGGAGACTAAATTTCAGTAAATTGTTTTCCAAGAATTGACAGTTCCTGCAGACAGCAAATGTTTGCTAATATCAATTAAAATCTGCAAAAAAAAAAAAAAAGAAGAGTGTGTCCTCACGTTAGTGAGTAAATTTACAGAATTTATTTGTGTAGTGAGTTTGTGTCTTTCTCAGTGAGAATATATTCTGAATATATTTATTCAGACTGAATGGAAAACTGCCCTTATTTTCCTTTTTCTGCTTGTGACTTTAAAAAGTTCACCCTCAGACATCTGGTTTATTTATGAAGAGTTTTCCAGTAAATTCAGCTATATCTGCTCTGTGCCTTTTGATTATCCTTGTCATCCTTCTCCAAACCTTTTTTATGTCACCTGGATCCTGTTGGAGGTGAAGGATCCAGATTTGTGTAGTTGTGTTGGCAACTTCTGAAGTTCCTGCTCTCTCCCAACCTCTGGCAATCCCTGGCTAAGAAATCTTCTGGGTGTGGGGTAATATTTTCATGTTTAACAACTGTAAACACCAGAAGAATAGCATTTCTTACCCACAGGTTCTACTTTGTCCCTCTTTTAACCAGCTTTCCAGGGTGTATTTTTAGTCTCCCCTTTTCGGTTTCGAGCCATGTCACTCTGATTCTTGGGTTTTTTGCCTCTTCATACCCTTCTTTTGGCATTCTGTTGTTCTTCAGCATTCAGTGTCTTGTCTCCAGTGAAGAGAGTCTGGCAGAACAAGGACAACAGGACCCAGGGAACTGGGATAAGATGTTCCAAAACCACAAGTGGAAATTATGGTTGTGATGGAGCATCAAAACAATTTGCATGAAAGTGTAGCTTGCTGGGTATTGAATTTGAGTGTTTACATTAAAGTGATGGTCAGTAGGGACAGGAAATATAACTAAATGCAGGAATGCCAGTTCAAATTCTGCAGCAGGTACTGCAGGATTTTTTCAGGCAAAGGTGAGGAAAATGCTCCTTTCTAAACTTAGAATGTCTGGATTTTTTGTTCTCTGACCTTCTGTGAAGAAAAAAGCAATTTCATCGATACCTCTGAAGTTATACTTCAAAGAAGAGAAAAATAGGGAGGTATTTGGAATAACTGCCATGTTCCCTTCACCCACCCACTCACCACATCCCTTTTGCTGTTTCACACATCTTACACTATCTTTGTCAGGTTAAAACCTTAAGATTATGGAAACTGTAAATAAATCCCACCTTGAGAATTTCTGTTCCGTTTTAAAAATGGAAACAATGTTGGATTTTTAATGTAAAGCAGCAGAAGAAGGTTATCCTGGATCTAAATAGTGTCCCCTCATTTTGCTCAGAGCAGGTTATTTCATCTGGTGCTTAAAGCTCCCAACATGTTTTTGTCCCTGGGAAAATTGCAGCCATCCAGCAGCTTTTGTTCTCTCTCTCCTGTGCTGTGCAGGGTAAAACCATCTTCAAAGAGGAGCTGAGTGAGCTTTAACAACAGGGAAAGGGTTTTTAAGTATTTCCCTGAGAGTGGTGGCTTTTAATTGGCCCAGGGCTGAGGGAAGTGCAGCTTCCCAGTGGCAAAGGGAAGGCTGCAGAGCCTCACACCAACGTCACAGCACAGCTCTGGTCACTCAGTGAAGGATAACAGGAGCAACAGAAATTAGAAATAGCACCTACATGCTTGACTCGAGTTAATGTTGCCATAAAGACATCAGTTTTTCTTTGATAACCAGTTTAATGTGCAAAGGAAATGCTGGGAGTCTGCTGGTAAAATTAGCAAATAACGTATAATTTGGGTTGTTATGAGTTAAGAAGATTGAAGAACTCACAGAAGGATGAACTTGAGGGCTGAAGCAGTGGAATGCAATTCCACCAGTAGTGCTTTGCAGGCTCACTTGGGGACCAATAACCAAAAATGAAGTTGTAAAGCTGAGCAATCATCAATTGCAAATGACCGAGGAAGGGAAGGCTCGTGGCTGAGCAGCTGATGGCAGGTGGAGTGTGAAAGGCTGGCGTGACGCAGGGTGGTTGGAGCAGAGCACTCCCAGGATGGATCAGCACAGGCATTTGGGGAGAGTTAGGGAAATGCTCATATCTCAGCACAGCCACTTGTGAGACGTCAGTCGGAAAACTGCGGCTCTGATCATCCGTTTTCGGGCGAGCTGATTACAAAGTGGAACAGAGACAAGAAGAGAGCTTTTAGGATGATTTGGGAAATGAAGCATGTGATTGCAGCATGGAAATATGATTGCTATTTATAACTGCAGGGAGTAGAAAAGAGATTAGCACAACAGAGGGAGAAGAAAAGGTGTTTTCTTCAAGGTAGTGTTGGCCCGAAATGTAGTTTAGGAAATTTTTGAGAGGAACTGTGTGGTGTGTGTTGCCATCAGAAGCAGGATGGGGGACTTGGTGGTTGAAGACACCCATCCTAAACCCACAGGGGAGTTGGAAGTTTGTGGTGTCATTAATAAATAATGCATTTGAAATTCTTAAAAAACAAAACAAAACAAAACAACCCAGTAAACCTTTAGCCACTGGGCTCTTCTTTTGGGCTCTATCTGCTTCCCTTTCAGAGCTTTGCTTCTCCTGTTGTCACTCCTTAATGCACCTAACAAACCTGTTCACCTCCCCTTGAACTGCCTCAGAAGTGCTTTACAATTGTAATCTCTGGGCTGTTTGAAGTACTTGACATTTAAAAAAAAAATAACAAAAAAGAAAGGGAAAAACTCTCCCAAACAAGACAAGTCAATGGATGTCAAATACTCTTCTCATCCTACTCTGCTCACCCTGAAGTTTTCGAGCTTTGACATTTTAAAGCAATAAATATATATGAAGTATCTTCTTCGGGTAGATTGTGAGGCTCTGGGATCTACTGTTTGGGATCACCCACCTCTGGAGTATCTGTACTGACAGTGGTTTGAGCAAGAAAAGGACTTATAAGTGACTGATGTTCTCTGAAATATGAAATTTTTCTTCCTATCTGCACTTCCCTTGTGGGGTAAGGAGGAGGGGCCAGGTTGGACTCCAGGCTTTCATTCTGGAAGACAACCCTTTTCCAGGTAGTTTCCCATCTGCTTGGAAATTCTTGTATTTATCTCACGTGTCCCCACTGTAAATGATTATTTGCCATAGATAGATTAGGAACATTGCCTCCTTCCAGCGTTTCCAAAAACACAGTTAAAAGTCAGTGGTGAGCAGTCTTTTGGGAAAACATTATTTTGCATTTTACGGCAATTGGCATTTATTCTTGATAACCATTTGTTTTAGTATCCACCCAAGGACATTGTACAGGAGTAAAATCTGGCCCATGGGCCTGTAATTGTTTAGAACTCCACTTCCTCTTCTTCATTTATTTGAAGACAATACATAAGTGGCTGCTTTATTGAAAATCTTTGTTATTATCTGTTCTTAATTGTTTTGAGATGGAAATGAAGCAGCTCCCCAGTGCAGCCACCAAGAGAACATGCTTTGCTTCCACTGTTCCCTCTGATTTGTTGTCCTCACTGCATTCCCATTAGATACTTTGTCATTATAGCCCTTTTGTGTCTCACTGAAAAGTGAGAAAAATATTTGGACATCACCTGCACAGAATGCAACACTCACCTCATCCTCCTTGTGCTGAACCTACTTCTTTTCTCACCCCTTTTCTTTATACCCATGTGGCTGATTTGGAGAGGATGCACCAGCTTTTCTCTGTAATGCTTTCCCATTAACCAGTTCAGCTGTATGAAAGATCTGCAGAAGTGCAGACAGATGATTTAAACTGTTGTGACAACCACACAACAAGTTTCACTGGGCAAAATCCGAATTTCTTTAGTTGCAGTTTGCATCATGGCCTGTGCTCTGCTCTGTTAATAGTTAAAAGTGGTTGTTTTCGTTATGTCTAAATGGGGAAGGGAAACTGGGACATGGAGCCTTCATAACAGAGAGGCAGTTTAAAAATGCTGCTGTAGGAGAATTTCACAGTAAGGGACACGAATATGACCAGCACCATTCTGCAAAGTCCATGTCGTAGCAGTTTGTTCCCAGTCCTGCTTAGACATTAAATGTCTTTGTAATGTTGTTTTCAGAGGAAGACTTTTCCATCAAGGACGTGGCAACCTCCAGAGCGAAGTGGTGCAGTGAACAAGAACACACTCTGCAGGAGTCCTGGAACTCCTTGGTGAAATTTAATTATTCCCATCGTGGCCGGATCTCGAACATGGATTTTCAAGGGGATATCTTTGATGAGTTCCTCCACCAGCAGAAAATCACCCGCTCCGGAGATCATCAGCAAGGGAGGAAAGAGGGACTGCAAACGCTCCCCAAGAGGCAAGAAGAGGAAAATGCAGTGGAGGCACACGATGGAAATGATTTTGAAATTCCTGTTTTACCTTATGGGCAGCACTTGGTGATAGACATTCGAACAACGTGGGGAGACAGACATTATGTGGGTCTTAATGGAATTGAAGTTTTCAGTTCCGAAGGAGATCCCGTTCAGATTGCAAAAATAACAGCTGAACCACCTGATATAAATATTTTACCAGCTTATGGGAATGATCCCAGAATAATAACCAACCTAATTGATGGGGTAAATCGGACACAGGATGATATGCATCTCTGGCTGGCACCATTTACCCCTGGAAAACCTCACTTTATCTTTATTGACTTTGTGAATCCCTGTCAGGTAGCTATGATTAGGATTTGGAATTACAATAAATCTCGAATCCACTCTTTCAGAGGTGTGAAAGACATTATCATGCTGTTAGATGAACAATGCATCTTTAAGGGAGAAATTGCCAAGGCTTCAGGAACATTGTCTGGAGGTATTCTATCATTTCTTATTTTCTTTGTGGGAACAGCAGTACAATGCAAACAAATGCACTTCACTTGTTTGTTATCACTTCCCACTTCAAAGCAAGCTGGCACTTTGTCTGGTATTGAATTTAAAAACATAAAGCCCCCTAATGCATTCTTCACTGATACTGGGGATTTTAGCAGCACACAGAGCTGATCTCCATTGTTAACCATGCCTTAGCATCAACTCTGTATTTCAATAATATCAGATAGTCATGAGAAATTGAAAAGTTTCAGCCTGTTACTGTTTTTCACATATCTTTTGGAAAAGGTGATAGAGAAGCTTTTTTTCCCATTGTCTTTCCTATGTATTCAAAATTTGACTGAATTATCTCATTTTTTACTCGTCTGCAGTGTAAGTTTGAGAGTGAAATACTGATTATAGCGGTATCAGTATCAATTTACCAGAAATTATTTTTAAACAAATTTTTTTTCAAATCAAATATAAGGAAGGACCAAAAATAATTTTTATCACTCCATATATTCTTTTGTTTTATTTCTCCATTTAATTCTGTGTGTTGCCTTCAGCTCCAGAGCACTTTGGGGACACTATATTGTTCACTACTGATGATGATATTCTTGAAGCTATTTACTGCTGTGATGAGACATATGATGGAGAGATGGAAAATGCCAGCTCCTTGAGATATGAGGAAGAGCTAAAGAGGCCAACAACTGCTGACAGGGAGGGAGATGAAAGACCTTTTACACAAGCGGGTTTGAGAACAGAAGATCAACAGGTACGGCCTTCTGTGTCCACAACTCTCTATAAATGTCTTTCTGAAACATGACATGGAAGTAAGAGGCACATTCCCATGGTGAGGTAAAACTCTGCAGAAGAACTAATGCAATTATTTTGTATTTTGAAGATTTTTTTTTTGTACTATTTTGAAGATTTTTTTTTTCCCACCGGCTCAATAATTTAAGTGATATTTTAAATCTTCCGAATTTTGGATTCCCTGACTAATTATTAAGCCTACAAGGAAAGCTATATTAGATTTTTTTTTCTTTACTTACTTGGACAGAGATTATAGGGAGTTCTTTTTGATTTAGGTACTCCTGAAGGTTTATGCACTGGCAGTGATACATACAGTTATTCATATAATGAGTAGCTGTCCTCCTTGTCACTCCAAACTAAAGATTTTTCTGTATTTTCCATGCAGAATAGACTCTTGCTGGTTTCTTCCTCCACCAATTAAGTATCTTAAACAGAAATTATCTCTTCCTGTCCATCCTCCCCCCATTTTCCCTGTCTGTATTTTTTTTTTGTTAGAGTCTCCACAGGTTTGTGTGCATTTTGCAGCACAAAAAATGCCTCTTTTCCATGCAGTTGGTATTTTACTCCTTGAAGGGAAGGTGTATTTTCCAGCACTGGGGTCTTGCCTTGTACCATTCCAGCCCAACAGTCCAGGGTGTGAGCAAAGGTCCTGCAAGATTTTCTCCTCGTGCTGGTGTGGGACAGACTTTGACCTGATTTCCTTAAATATTCTACCTTCTCAGGATCTTCTTGAGCACCTACTGCTGCATCAGTGAGGTTCTCTTTTTTTCCAGGGGTCACGCTCTTACTTGTGAGTCTGTGAGGAGACCCAAATTCCAGCTGGTTCAGCTAAACTGCTCCCAGGGATATGCAGTTCCTAATGAGCCTCGTGTGGTTTTCAAGCCTTCCCATTCTGTCTTGTCCTCTTTTTCTTGTGGCTTACAAGACAAAGGGAACTACAATGACGTTGGAATTTGATGTCACTGTTAAAATCATGAGTCAGTGTCTCTAACCCTTGGACTTCTTCGGCAATCTTGGTCCCATCTTTGCTTGTGATGTCTTAAACTGTCCAGACACCTTTTGCAGTGCAGGATTTCATGAACACAAGTTGAAGTTCATCTCTCTTTTCTTGATCACTTGTTTGTTGTGAGCATTCATCAGGACCTCTTCCAAGGCAGAAGCCTGGGCCTGGACTGTCTGGCCCTTACTCAGAGTCTCTGCCTTTCATTTTGCTGTGATGCCCTTCATCCCCCTGTTCTAACTCTGAAATGTGCTGCATCAGCAGTGGAATAACAAATGCTATTGTGACTGAGCCATTGATCTCCCTGTCACTGTGTATTTGCTGATTTTTGTGGAGGGATGCTTGTGCTACCAGAGTGATACAGATCCACTGGGCAATTTGTCTTCCCCAGCACAACGTTGTCAGACCAGTATTGGGTTTGAACAGTCTCTGCTGCTGATCATTCCCTGCTCAGGAGGTGAAATGGTGTTTTACTACAAAACTTTTTAAAAGCTCTTACAGAAGTGTCTTACTTTCATGTCGGTGTTATCCATGGTCATCTGTCTGTCCCGTGGGTTCAGTAACCCTTAACATGCTGACCTTTCCAGCAGATCAGACCTGTTCCAAGTGCACTTCATTCAGCTCTGTGGCCACTAATGGGTGCTTAGGGAGAATGTAAGAACAGCACAGACATGCAGTGGTGTTTCTCTGAAACACTCAGCCAGCTCTCAGAAGTGTGTCCACAAGGACTTTTTCACTTAACCTTTGTGTTTAGTATCCTGCTGCAGATTTTTGTTTCATTAATTCATCCCCTAGCTTTTTGAACCCTTGTACACTTCTACAATTTACAGTGCTCTGTGGCGAGTTTCTCAGCAAAGAACCTCTTTCTGTTTGTCTCTAGGTTCCTTTAATGTCCCCTAGCTTTTTGTGCTGGAAGAAACTAAACAATTATTCCCCATCCCCTTCTTCAAGCCACTCAGGAGATTTATGCCCCTGTGTTACAGTCTCCTAAATCTCTATTTTCTGGAATGGTTACTCCAACTTTAGTTATTCCTCACAGGGATGGTGCTATACAGTATGGGCAGGTGGAGGACCATGGTAATACTTCCTACTTTTTATTGCTTTTCCAATAACTCCTGTACTGTGGTGCTGTTTTGTTTTAGCCATAAGAATCTGAGAACACAGGTAGGACAATGCTCACAGGCAGAAGTAGTTGGAATAGCAGAAAATTAGAGCATGTCTGAAAGAAAATATAGGAGGCACCACTGGAATAAGGGATATGAGGAGATAAGAAAGGGAGAAAAGAGGTGATAATGTGACTGGCACAGATGGTTTATGGTCTACAAGGGAGGGCATTATTTTGCAATCTCTAAACCCAGTAACTTTATTATGCTCGTGGGTTTTGATTCTCAGTAAAGTTACAAATTTTAATTCCCAGGCTGGTCTTTTAAAGTTGTTCTAAGGAAGAGGCATCAAAGGCAGAGTCACTGTTTTGCATGAACCACCCCCCCCCCCAATAGGAAGGGTTTTCCACCTTCTGTAGGTTCCCTCTGTGTGTGTATTTATTTCAGGGCACTCTTCTTGTTCAGTTTCACCTGAATTGCCTTAATTACCACAGGGACATTTGCTGCCTCGTGAAGGATATTGCAGTCTGGGAAGAGACATCTGACATCCAGGATGTCAGTGGTTCTACTGCAGGGATCTGATGGCACAGTAGGAGAACAGCGATGACAAGTCTTTTATTTATTTTTAGGCACAATGTGGGTCCATTTGATGTATTCTGGATGACAGGAAGTTTACTTCTAATGATAAATTAAACTGTAGAGGAGTCTGGACTTCTAATTTCCTGTTTGGCTTTTTGACTGCTAATGAGGATTGAGCTGATGTTTTTTATAGAGCTACTCATAAAAATGCCAAGATGTCATTCTAATCTGCTTTATTAATTTTGGAGCCCAGTACTGGTATATGTAAAGTTAGGATTGTTTTCCTCCAGTGTAGCATTTGTACATTTACCCACAGTGAACAGAATCAGCCATTTTATCACACTCAATGAAATGAACTTTACCTGCAACCCCTTTGCCATTTTTCTTTGTCTTTACCACCCTGCTTGCCCCAGGATGATCAGCAAATTCTGCCCTCTGTTTATTCCCTCTCTGGTTTGCTGTGCTGAATGGCACAGGTTCTTTTTCATTAGCACTGTCAGAGAACAAGCACAAGCTTTTGGACAAGTTTGCTTGTTTGTTCTGCCTCGTAGTTCTTGAGAAGGAGTTGTGGTGGCACTCTGTGGTCTTGACTTCCTTCCAGACTTCTCGTCTCTACAATGCAACAGGTTGCAAGCGCAGCATATTATCATTTTTTAATGACAATCTGCAGGTAAATAAGAGTGACTTTAGAATTTCAGCCTCTTTGAGAATAGGTAGCTCACAGTACAGAGTCTCCCGTTCAACATTTCTGTATGAATTAACCAAAAAACCTCACCCTAACAGTCTGGATTTTCTGAGGATCTATGTGATCTTTTACATTTTGGGGCATGTTTTCCATTATTGGCAGGACAGCCAAGATGGGGAGGCAAAGGGGAGATGGATATACAAAAGGCTGGATGTAGTAAAAGCCAAAGGAACAGACATAAAAACTCTGTAAACAATGCCTGTAATGTATGTGTAATATTGCAGCTGTTGACTTTCTTTTTAGGGTCTAGAGCCAGACTCTTTCTCTGAATGTACACCTAAGGAGACAGGAATATTTACTGGAAAATGTAAGTTCTTGCACTTCTTCCTTAACCCCCCTCCCCCAAACACGTTATCAAGGAGGATCTGATTTGTCAGAGCTGTACAGAACTTTGTGACAGATGCCAGGTCTAGAATAAAGAAGAGGAATTGAATATTTAAGGCAGAAGCTTTGTTTACTCTGGCATTTACAACATTATATCGTAACAGTTGGCTTTTAATCTCAGAAAAATAACATTAGCCATTTGCCTCATCCCTGAATGGGATTTCTGATAGCTGTGTCTCTTACCCAGTAATTCTCTCCCAGTCCTGTGTATTTCTGTAGCCTGAATTTTTCAGATTGGATTGGCAGTAGAAACCCTGCGGTAGAGCTGGTTCAGAATGTTATATTGATGCTTAAAGTACCTGTTTCCTTTATCCTGCACAAACCCAACTCTCTGTGGGCCTTTAAATTGTTGTCCAGGTGCATGTTCTAGATGGCCCAGATGCCTCAGGATCAGCTCCTGCTCCTTTGATAAGAATTTCCAATGGGGTTTTAGGAAATGTTTTTCACCCTGAGGGCACTCAAACACTGGAACAGGGGTTGAGAGAGGATCTGAAATCTGCCAGCCTTGCAGACACGGGATAAGCTCCTTAAAGACCTGATCTAATGGACATGCCCTGAGCTTGGAGGTGGATTAGACACCTGCAGAGGTCCTTTTTCCGCCGGCATCATCCTCAGATTCTCTGAAGGCATTGCCGTGGTGAAGTGAACACTAAACCTTGTGTGAGTGGCTGCTCCTCCCTGGCTTTTCCATAGGAAGATACCCTCTCATTTTTCTTGAGATGTAGTAAAAAAAATACCCTTGCTTGTGAAAGCAAATAAAAAGCCGTGCTTGAACCCTGAGCAAGTTTAGTCTTAGCAATGGTTTTGGGAATAGCATCTAATATCAGTGTAGCCAAATTTGTCAGCTAACAGAGCTATTTATTTCTTTGTGTCCTTGCAAATGCTAATGAGATCTCACACCCAGGGGAATTTATGTATATATCAAGACTTGCTATAGCTATTTAAAGGTGTTTGGGCTGGATGGCTTAATAGGTTTAATGCTTGTTTGTTTTTCAGGGCACCATGACTGCTGGTGCTTCTTTAGACACTATCCAGCCTGATTAGTTGTGGGTTTCTGCAGTGTGTGAAATGAAAGATATCTTTAATTTACAGTGATGGATTTTTCTGTGGAACCTGATCAGACTGAAACATTACTTGTTATATCTGTATATGCTATTTCTGTTTCTTTTCAGTAAGGCATAAAACAGGTGGATCTGAAGATACATGCACAACCTTTTGACTGTCCAGTTTTCCTTTCCTATTTATTTTCTAGAGATGCAGGCTAATCATTAATTAATAATATTAATATTGCTGCTTTTCACTGATGCTGTCCCATTAAAATACTTCCATGTGTCCAGTTCTGCTGGGAAGGTAGTAACTTAAAAACATTAGCAAAGCGAATTTGTGTTTTGCTTTAACTCTGAGTTGGTGTTCTCTAGCAATTTATGGGATTTATGAGAGGCTGGATTTATATGAACATATATAGTCATTTAGCTGGTGAAAGATGATGGATAGACTTCAGACTAATCTGTCTTCTCTGTGTCTGCATAATCACAAAATCTGTCATGTAACTGCTTAAATGTGTCACTGAATTACTGTCAGTCTGCAATCACAGTAATGAGACACTTGCTAACGTGCTTGATCAGGAGCTGTGTAGTTAAAAGTGAACAAGGTGTTGGCAGCCCACTACAGGGTCTAATGCAGACCAGGAAATACCCAAATCCAGCATAGAAAGTGATTTAATCTGCACAAAAGATACACGCTGCCGACCACTGGGGCCTGCATGCATGTTTGTATTGGCTCCTTACTTCAAACGAGATAAATTAGATGTAATATTCTTTTATATAGGCCTGCAACTGAATTTTACCATGACCTGGGGAGACTCCCATTACCTCGGACTGACAGGACTTGAGGTGATAGGAAAGAACGGCCAGGCACTAAAAATCAGCACAGAGCAGATTTCTGCTTCACCCCAGGACTTAAATGATCTTCCAGAGTACACAGGAGATTCCAGAACGTTGGAAAAGTAAGTAAGGAAAGGCTTGGATGCATTTTTACAGCAGATTTTATAAAGTTGCCAGAATTATATAAGCTTCTATTATGATAACACATGGTAATGCAGAGATGATTTTCATCCCATCACTGCTCATTCCTGGAATTCACAAGCTGCCCAGGAACAGCTTGTTGTAGAAACATGAATGAGATGTTTCCAAAAGTTGGTGTTTGAGTTAGGAGATGGTAACAGGCCTGCTTGGTATTTCTGCCAAGGACTTTCCAGGAAGAAATGTGGGTGTTCTGAAGCATCTGTCTGTGCATATTCAGTGATATTTATGCAGGATTTCTGGATAACTTCAAGGAAAATTTTCAACTTAGCAACGAGTGAGGATGTGTTTGGGAATTGCACAAACAGGTGCCATTCTTTTGGCAGTTTTTGCAGCCTTTTTTGGTAATTCTAATGAAGTTTTATTCATTCACAAGTATATTTCCTCAAATTAGCTTGTACATCCTAAATGGCAGTGTAGAAATCACAGGCTGTAGATCTGGAGAGGACTTGGCATTTGGTTGTTATTGAAGCTGCATCCTGTTGTTTCTGAGTCATATCTCCATTTTAAAGGGTATTTTCAGTTGCAATCCTCTGCTCTGGCATATTTATGGTCTGTGACTGGGCTTACGAATTAGGACTTTTCAAAGTCTCTGTAGAGTCTTCCTTAGAATTTTGTATTTATTTTTACATGTGCAGTAGCGCTGTTATTTGTAATATCTGCTAATCTGAATAATGCAGATATCAAACTTACTTGTGCAGAATTACTTGTTTCTTCTGCCTATTTGTGTGAAAATCTCATCTGTAGGCACCAAGATCTAAGAAACCTTCCCCTGATGTATTTGAGGAATGTTATTTATGGTGCCTTTTCCTTGCCAGCTTTCCTACTGTTTTTTTGGCCTGTGCACACACATTTAACCTTCCAGAGTTTACAATCCTATCAATTTAGGGTTTTTTTGATCATTAATTTCGTTGAAAGATGGCTTTTAATACATTTGTTTGTCCTGCTACTGAGCCTTTGAGTTTGCAAAGTCCTCCCTCTTTCTGATGTCTTCCTTAGGAAGTGAAATACGTTTTTTATTCTTTTTTTTTTTTACATCCTTTATTGTTTCGCTTAAGAATTTCTTTGGGCACAAGAAATAGAGGCTTTTTTTGGCTTTTGGTATTTCTGGAAGCATGTTGAATTTGAGTACACTACAGTGCTCTTCAGCTGTAGCATTTGGAATAAGTCCTGTGTGCTCTTCAAGTCAAGAATTATGTCTTCTCTCATGGACTCCCTAATCAGCTCTTCTGTGAAAGAGTCATTACTCAAATCTTTTTCTTTAAGGAACTGCCAAGCCTGGCACTCATTCTTCCATTAAACTTTTAAATAAATATTAAGTATATACTTACTTTTTTGGGCAGTGTACCAAAGTAATTACAGTGGACAATTAATTCACATTCTTTACTCCGTCTTCGTGTGCCGTAGTTTGCATTAGGAGAATATAAAGCCAGGATTCCAAAAATGAGGAAATGACAGATTTAACTTCATTTGGCCAGCCTGAAGCCTGTGCTGCTATGAAAAGGCATTGTCCTGCTGGTAGGGAGCTTTCTGAAAAAGCAGGGATGTGACTGTGGGCAGAAGGACGTGAGCTAACTCTGGCTCTTCTCAGGGTTATCCACCTGCCATCCAGCGCCTTGCTGGATCCAGCAGAGCTGTGTTGGCATAGTAACACACTGCAGAATGCCAGAGAGACTAGTTGAGGCAGGGAACTAGATGATTAATAAGTTACATTGTGCCTAGGCCTTACAGTTTTGCCTCCAGCCACTTTGGTACAAAGGTAGTTGAGTTTTCCTCTGCCCACCCCTGTTCGCACAGGGAAATCCTACAGATTTTGCTGGCTTTCCTCAAACAGACCCAGCTAAAGAAAATACTGGCTTTCCTCTCCACACTGCCTTTAATTCAATAATTGTGGGTTATATTTGATGGTTACTGTGCTTTTTAATTCCTGCACGTGGGCACAAGAAGCCCTGGAAGCTGAAAAGTGAACACCGGGTAAAGTCACTGCTTTCCATGAGAGAAGCTAGCTCTTCCCTTCCTGCAGCTAATGGATTTTTCTCTTTGTAGGTTAATAGATGGGACTAATATCACAGTAGAGGATGACCATATGTGGCTCATTCCCTTCTCTTTTGGAGAAGATCATCTGCTCACAATCCATTTTGATAAAATTGAAAGTATTGCAGGGCTTCGCTTTTGGAACTATAATAAATCTCCAGAGGATACCTACAGAGGGGTAAGTAAAAGAAAAGGAGCACTGCCAGCAAAAATATACAGCAGTGCATTGGAAAATTGGTACTATGATGAATGAATATAGCTGCCTTAATGGAACACCATAAATCTCTCTAGATTGTCTGAGTCTGAGTTTTGTGGCAGGTGTAATGCATTCCTGTCTCCACAAACAGCACACATTGAAAAAAAAAAGCCAGAGATACTTTAAAGAAATCTTCAAAGCTGATTTTTCTAAGAGACACATACAATACCACATATTATTTTCAAGATGTATGATCCTCAAGAGGTATCCTCTCAATAGCTAATATTTAGACCTACCATACGATCCTGTGTTTCCTGGAGTACAGGGAATGATGTAAGAGGGAAACTTTTCCCACAGAAATTCTGTTTAGTGAAGTTTCAGAAGGCAGTTCAGTACTGCCTTTCCCAAGAAGCAAGAAGAGTCACTTGAACCCTTAACTGGGAAAGTCGATATCTTTAAACAGTTTGCTAAAATAGTTTAGCTAAAAATGTAGAACGTACCTCCTCTCTTCTTTTTCCAAATTTGTTTGGTTTGCATTTGTTTTTTTCATACTGAATTATTGCAATTGACTGGCAATTGGCACCTGGTGGAGATAATTTTACACCTTGTTGGCAACCTGAGCTTGGCTGTCCCTCATTTCCCTGCTGTATTTGCACTTGAAATGATAATGAAATGGTAGTTGCTGTTTACTGCACAGAAAGTTTATTAATCCATTTGTTTCCAGACCTCCCCTTTTACACAGAACTGTTGCATTTTTGATGCCCACATTCAACCAGTAGATAAGAAGAAAACCGTTGATATGTATTAAACTGAGAGACAGGACAAAAGGGATCAGCAAAGTTCTGGGAAAAAAAATCTCCCAGCTGAAACTGGAGACCTGGAACATTCATGGGGTTGGGCAAGATAGTGGCAAAGTTACACAACTGTGTCTTTGTGTAAATTTACCTTCCAGGAATTGCTTTAATGTGAACACTGCCTGGCATCTTTTAGGATCAGCGTGGGGGCTCTTGGTGCTAAAGACTCCCAGAGGGCCAGAGCGTAAGAATCTTTCAATTAAAGCACAATTGGTCTGGAGATTTTAACATATGGCACCTCATTTTGTGCCGCGTTGCATCAACCCAGCACGTTTGACACATGGGAGGGCTCTGGAGCATTTTGAGCTTCCCATCTCGATATACCCCTGGATTAAATTAAGGTGTTTGGTGACATTTGTGTCCTGATTTCAGCTGGGACAGAGTTAATTTTCTTCCCGGGAGTTGTGTTTTGGATTTAGGGTGAGAATAATGGGGAGGACGCACCGATTTTTAAGTTGTTGCTGAGCAGTGGTTACTAAATCTCCAAAATCTAACGTGGAATTTGGTCTTTGGAGGCCAAACCAAGAAGAAAAAGGAAGAAAGGTGTGTTTACTTGGCTAGGAGGGAAAAAGAAGTGAGTGTGATACAGGTGTCCACCTGCATGCATAAAGTCCCACAGCAGTTAGTGGGTACAATTAAAAGGAGTACAATTTAAAGTGGGTACAATTTAAAAGGATAAAATAGATGCAGCTCTGTAGAAGGATAAAATAAATTATTTGGAAAACTGAAAATGCAAGATATTGGCTGGGTCACAGTAAGGAGGCTTTAGGCTGTAAACCCAGGGCATCATGACATCTGTCTCTTGAAGTATTGCTGTTCCTTCTAAGAACCAGTCCCTGGGCATGAGATATGATGATTTTCTAGGCAGCTGCAGGCTGCTGGATTCTATTCACAGCTTTAGTGTGAGAGGGTAATGGCAGGGAACTGTCAGAATGAAGACTTGGGTGCTATTTCCAGCTCTGTGAAAAATCACCTCGTGAAGGCTTTGTTATGCCATTTGTAAAATGCAATATGTGACGGCTGAGTGCCTTCTCAGATGATGAGAATCCCTCAGAAATGAGGGCTGGAAAGGGCACATAAATATAAGCAGCTGTGGTGTAATAGGTAAGATTTCATCTCTAAGTCTCCAGGTTTCCCATTCACGACGTGTTTCTGTTTAGGAAAGTGTATTTCAGTGGGTTTTTCCCTTCCTCTCCTTATCCTGGCAGGCTTATTCAGCTCGAAAGTAGCACCCAGGGCTTCTGATATGAAAAGGATATTCCCTTTCTTTGCTCCCAAGTGTATTAAAGATGAGACCAGAAGCAGTTATTTCTCCATACTTAGTAGTCACACAAACACTTCCCTTCTGATTAATCTTCAGGATGTTTGGAGGTGAACTGAGCACCTCCTCTAGTCTAGTACAATACCTGAGGTTTTCAAAGCAAGAAAAAAAAAATCTTCCGGAAAATTAGTTGCTTTTGGGATATTGCATGTTATAATAATTGAATAAAACATCCTTTACAAAAGGAAAAAATGTGAGAACTGTTGTGAGTATCAGGTCACTGATAATATACAGGACTTGCAGAATGCTCAGAATATTTTAAAGTTCTTAAATAGACACCTGAAATGTGAATTTTAACTATAAATATTGCATATATATTTTTAATAGATCCTAATAATGAAAATTAAATATTTGCATACAAGCCTAAGTTAACCTCAGATTATCTTTTATATATCAGGAAGCATGAAATCCAAAGATGAGAAAACTTACTTTTAGACTAAATAAATTTTTTTGTTAACTAAATGAATCTATTTTGGTGCAGTCCATTAATCAGCAGGCTTTAATTGCAGTGCCAGTTATAAAGGCCATGTTGTTATATTTTACAGGTGTTGTTCCTTCTAAACTGTTACTTCAGTGAAAGGCTCAGGGCAATAAATGCTGCTTATGATTAAGTTACATTTACCATATATCAGGGCAAGATGCAGTGATTAATTGTTGCTGCATGATTGGATTGTTCTATGACTGGGATCATGGACACAGCAGCAGATGGTGCTGATGGGGGAGGGTGAAGGGGCCAGGGCTCCTGCATGATTTGAATAAATATGGCTGAATTATTCAGTTTAATCTTCAGAGCTTGTATAAGACGTGTTTGCATCTCTGATGTGGACACAGCTCAATTCTTTCTGTCTGGTGCAAGGTACCTTTTCTTTATTCATATGCCCTTAGGTTACACACAGCACTGCTTGGCAGATGAGTTTGCGTGATCCTGGAAAAGTCTAAGTGCCACCTGCCACAAAGATAAATAGACCTGGTGAAATACAGGTTTCTGTAAATGCAACAGAGCCACAAAAGGCTGCTCTGGAGAGAGCACCAGGCTGTGGGATTTCTGGAAGGGTTGCTCCAGCCAGGGCTGGGCAATCAGGCCTGACCCAGCAGAGCATTCAGGTGCATGATGAGTCTACTGTCTCCTAAGATCACCTTTGGGACATGTGCTGGCTGAAAAGCTGAGTCTTTCCATTCTGATCCCGTGTGTAAATATTGCTGCAGGCCCAGGAATCAGAATTGTTTGGGTTGGAAAAGATTAAGATCATTGAGTCCAGCACTGCCAAGGCCACCACTAAACCATGTCCCCAAGTGCTTCATCTACATGTCTTTTAAATTCTTCCAGGGTTTGGGACTCCCTCACTTCCCTTGGTGTCCTGTTCCAGTGCCTGACCACCCTTTCTGTGAAGGGAAGCTTCAGTTTGCTGAGATCTAGAGAGATGCAGTAATTGAAGGATCTGTAAATAATTTTTGGGGGGATATTTCTCCCCCCAAATCTTCACCTCTCCCATCCCCATCAATGACACTGAATTGCACACCAAGGGTTGCAACTCTTATCTGCTGGTTTAGGCTTTCTTGTGCCAAAGGATGTCACACAAAACGGGAATGAAATAAAAACAGCAAAATAACTGAAATTGCTTCAGCCTCTGAAGCGAATGCAATTGTTTGCAATCTGTTTTAATTTATGTCATGCCATGTAATCTCATGTTCTGTTATTTTAAACAAGGCCAAGGTGGTCCATGTGTTGCTGGACGGGCACAGCATCTCCCCACCGGAGGGGTTCCTCATCCGCAAGGGACCAGGAAATTGCCACTTTGACTTTGCCCAAGAAATTCTCTTTCTTGACTATCTGCAGTCCCAGCCAACTAATAAAGTGCACAGGAGGTAAAATAGGATGTTTCTGTTATCTGAGCACCATGATTTCTCTTCACTGTTTTCCCAATCTTTCACGTCCTCTGTCAGTGCCAATTGTACGAGGCACCTGGATGAAAATACGGAGCAATTAGAGCAGAGTGTTTAATTGTGTCTTAATTATAAACTATTACCCAGATTTTATTGAGATCAGAGGACAGTCTAGTCCATAATCACAGGTGGAGGGGCCAGGGGTGCTCTTTGTAGAGGCTTAGTCCTTTGGGTTTGTTCTCTTCTGAATGAGCCAATGGTAATAAAAAACCTGGTTTGTCTTGGTTTTTTTTGGCAGGACTGGGTCAAAGAGGATGGAACAAGCCAGCATGGATTATGAAGCACCCTTAATGCCATGTGGTTGTATCCTTCTCTGTCATTTTCTAGCTTTTAGAATAGAGAATATTTTAAGAATGCTTTAAGAAGTTAACAGGATACCAAGAACACGAGAAAGGCTTGCATAAAGTATGACTTAGGAATAAATAAAAGGAACATAATATATGAATGTGTGGCCTGTTTTCAGATGCTCTGGTAGCTTTTTCCCCTGGACTGCAAATAAGTGTTGGACATTGAGATGTGGGCTGCACGATACTTTTTCAAACTTGCAAATTAAATAGCCTGTTAGGACAAAGTAACAGTACCAAAACTTTTCCTTAACAGCATTTTGCTTTTCAGTTATTTTCCAGTTTCAGCTCCTGACAAGCTGGGGTGATCCATACTACATCGGTCTGAATGGACTTGAGCTGTTCAATGAACATGGAGACCAAATCTTACTGACTGAGAACAGTATCCTTCCCACACCAAGCGCTCCTGTCCCTCCAATTTTCATATGGCATCACTTGCTCCTTCTTCCATTTCCAGCTGATCCTGTGTGATCAACTCTCCTGTTTCTGTTTGTGTGCTGAATATTCATTCTATATGTTTTTATGTATTCTAGATAGTTTCAGAAAAGTGTATACTTGGGATGCGCCAGTAAAGCAGGATAAGGGTAGGGAAGGGAAGGCTTAAGAAGGACATGGTATTTTTTGCTGTTGACATTTATTTCTTCTGAAGAGTGGAAGGCCCAGAAATTTTGCTGAGCTATAAATTCACAAGAAGAGGTTGAGCTCGGTGCCTTTTTTTATGGAAGCTTTCACTGGGCCCCAGGAAAGAAATTTTTCATAACTCTTGTTCTGGAGATTTAGGCTGTTCTAGACACCTGATCCAGTCACAAAGATCAGGGCTGAGGGTTGGAATTTGATTCAGTGTCCCCTGGATAACCAACAGAGGGAATGAAGGGCATGTTTGAGGGACTGGCAGTCATTGAGGTGACACTTCCATGCTCCATCCCAGCATACAATTCACATACAATACCCAGCATACAATTCACTTACATGGCAGAAACATTTCTTAGCCAACTAGAACGAATAAACAGACAAATTCTGCATGAATTCTGTCCTTAAAGATCCTCATTGCCTAATAAATAAGAGATACAGTGAAAAGGCAACAAAGCCTTTTCCCCAGTTTTTGTTTGTGTCTTGTATGGATATGTATGATGATATAGTATGATGGACTTGAAACATTTGCAATGGGCAAGAAGCATTTTGAAATTGAAAAGTGGTAACAAATTGGTCTTAAGAGCAAGGGATCTTTAACTTAGCTGGGATGTCTTTAACAGTGCAAACCAGTGCCAGGTAAAGAACCCTCAGCTCGTTTTGAATGATCTCCTGCCTGTACAGTGATGTTGATGGGATGTATTAGGATCCTAAAAAAGCACATTTGTCTTAGTGCAGTACTTGATGTGATAATTCAGTCCTGAGTCTGGAGCTTTCCTTAAACACTTGAGGCATTGCTGTGCTATTCCTGAAATTCTTTATAAATACTTAGAGACTCAGGCCTTTTAGAAAACTGGACAAGGGGAAATTAATATCCCTCAAATTGGATTGCTCAGGATTTTTGATGCTGAAGACAGTGCCATCCATCCACATTTCTTTGTCTTCAACATAGATATGTTTTTAATGTAAATATTCTCTTACAGAGGAAATCTGGTTGCCTGTTCAATGGGAGGTTTAATCTTTCCCTCTCAAAGACCTGATCAAAGGTCTTATTAGACAGTTGCTGATTTTTGCCACAAACCCTGAGAAACCCAAGCAAACCCTAGTCTGATGGCTACCTCCTACAAGGATACTTACCTTGAGATAGGTTTTATATGAGGAGTTTTCACAAGCTTATCGTGAAAAATGAGGCTTTGTCATCAAAGAGCTGGGACGTGCCTGTTCCTGATAACAGAACTTTATTGATGAAGTCATAGATACATATTTGAAAATAAAATAAATGCAGCTAGTTAATTTATTCCTGTTTTAAAAATGAATTTGAGTGCCAGAGTCTTTAAGGGTTGTCCTGCTTTTAAAAATATGCCCCCAAGCTACTTCTGTGAAGTTCATGGAGCGCTGTTGTCATGGTGAATACTCATCCGTGGAGTTGGGGACAGCAAGAATGACCCTTTAAATGTGGTGTTCCTGAAATGCTGCTTTCAGTTATTTGCACTTAAAGCTTTTTTGCAGACATTGCTGCTTTTCCAGACAGTGTCAACGTTTTGGAAGATGTATCTGGAGACATCCGAACTCCGGACAAACTCATTGACAGAGTCAATGACACGACTGATGGCAGACACATGTGGCTGGCACCAGTTCTTCCTGGCTTGGTACATTTTGCCCTTCCCATTCTGTCTTAGTGATGTGTGTGGCTGTAGCTGGAAGCACAGAGGAAAGGGGAAACATCTATAATTTGTAGATAAACTTATTATTAGTGACTGATATTAAATCACTGCTCTTAAAAGGAGCACTTTTTATTCCAGGTTCTCTCCACTGCTCAGGCAGCAGCAATAAAGGTTTCCCAGGTTTGCAATTCCTGTCTCCATGGTGCAACAGCAGAATTTCCCAGGCTGGTAGATGGTTTTTGAGTTATTATGATAAAGATAATGATGAAGCAGCTTAATGCGTGTATTTCGTACAATAAACACCTTTCAAAACGGGAGGGAACCGGGATCTTAAATTCATTTTTACAAAATGCACTGAATGTTGCTCCAGCAGGAAGAATTATTTTTAATCTCATTTCCTGTGTTGAATTCAAATTCATAGATTAGGGATGGCAGACTTAGTATTTCATGTCCTAAGGCCATAAGTGATTCAGCCTTTTTAGTAGTCCCATGTTTAGATAGGGGATATCAAATAATCTAAACAGGAAAAGCAGATAAATTTAGATAAGTTCTGACCTTGTTTTGGGAGAGGGCATTTTTTATGGGCCTGTTATGGACATCATTAAGCTGTGTTTGTTTCTTAGAAGAGGATGGATTTGAAAAGAGAACAAAATGTAAACCTGACGTGATATAACTGTGTTGGGAAAATCCTTACTCCATTATTACTTGGATTTTTAAAAGCACAGAATTAAGGCAATTTTTATCCTTACATGTTGTAATGCAGTGGATATAATAAGATTAAGTTTCTAATTATACTTGGAAATAATGACCACTTGCATTTCTTAGGAAAGTGGAAGGTCTGTGTAATGCTTGAGGGTCCCACTGTGTAGATCCCACATTCTGAATCCTGGTGATTTGATGGGATGCTCAGATATCCATCATAACGTGACGAATGATTGATCTGACAACCATCTGAGTTTGCTCCTGTCCTCATAAAAGCCACGCTTGCAGAGGCTGTTTCACTGGGGCAGAAAGGGAAATAACAGTCCCTGGAGTTCTGGCAGAGATGCAGACACTGCTTTGTGTTGCTCTGTCTGACACCAAAGCACTGCAGAAGAACATAAAATACCTGTATTAAAGGGTAAATCGGTAATGTGCGAAATGCACGAGGCAGAAGGAATTTAATGGCGCTTTCTGTTCTTGAACTGTAGCAAATTACACCTTTTTAAGATCCACAGAGTCCTTTTCTCTCCTCCATCTTCCCTGGGATGGTTGTTGAGCCGGGAAGTACAACTGGATTAAGCAATCAGGCTGTTGATGCTCAGCCTCTGTAGCTGCTGAACCAAAGCCTGGGTGTCCTCACACCCTCAGTGCTGGGCTGCTCCAACCACTCTGGCTGCCTGGAAAGCTGCATTAACTCTTTGCTTGCAGGAGATTTATATCATAGCTTTTCTTTTCTTTTTCTAAATGTCTTTTCCTTTCTGCTTCTGAAAGTGGTTTTGCCTTTTGCAAGTTTGTTACTAATTGAGTAGAATTTGAATTCTTTGTTCCCCTGTTGCTGATTGTCATTTTGTTTATTTGTTTGAATGGGGTTTTTTTTATCAAATTTATCATTTGCAGGGGGGCTAACAATTGCTTTTGGAGACTAATGGAAAATCACAGATACAAGCATTCCTATTGATCCCATTTACCTTTCTTTCTTCAGTAGAAAGAAAAAAGCATAATGATTTAACATATCTGGTGGTATCTCCTGTAATACATCAAAGGACTAAAACTTCAGAGGATGCTAAAGATGGAGCTTAAGATATGTTGATCCAAAGTTGATATAGTGGCTCATAAAAGGAATAGCATAGAATTAACTGTAACAGGCAAGATTGGTTTCCTACAGGCTAATCGTTGGTCTTAACATCTTGGCATTAACGTCACTGAAAGTAAAGTGAATAATACATCAAGCAGTAATTGTTTAGGAAGCATCTGGAGAATTATCTCTACCTTCCACTTAGTGTAACTCACACAAAAATTGCAAAATTTCTGGAAGAGCTTTCAGAGTCTGGGGATACGGGAGAAATTTTAGTCTTGCAAATAGAAAGGTGGATTCCATTTGTATTTGGTAGAAAGAAATGGAATAGGATAGAATAGAGTGTTGGAAGGGATCTTAAAGCCCATCTCATTCCAACCCACGGGCAGGGACACCTTTCCCTATCCCAGGTTGCTCCAAGCCCCATCCAACCTGGCCTTGGACACTCCCAGGGCTGGGGCAGCCACAGCTTCTCTGGGCAACCTGTGCCAGGGCCTGCCCACCCTCACAGGGAGGAATTTCTTCCTAATACCTGATCTAACCCTTCTCAGTTTGAAGCCATTCCCTCATGTCACTCCAGGCTGTTGTAAATAGTGTCTCTCCATCTTTCTTATGGGCTCCCTTCAGAATAGAGTAGAACAGAACAGAGCAGAATAGGCACCCGTTTGTCTTATCCTGCAGCACATCTGTGTTTGGTTGATGAAAGAAATCCTCATTAAAAGTGTCTCTCTACTGTGCCTCCAGTTACCAGGCAGTGCAGGACGACCAGGATGGTCTAGATGTCACCTGCTGGCAATTTATACCTCTTTTTAAGAGGGCAGCTGTGGGGTAGAAAGCACATCTGTGAGTTATCAGCAGGGATGATGCTGAACTTCAGCCCTTGGCATCGGTTACCCCACCTCCAGCTATACCTGTTCAAATACAAACCCCTTTTGATTCAACATGCATGAGAATTCGATTTCTTGGGGGAATCTGTGCTGTTAAATATAAATTAATTCTCTTTTACAGGTGAATAGGGTGTATGTCATTTTTGATGTACCTACTACCGTGTCAATGATCAAGTTATGGAATTATGCCAAAACGCCTCAGAGAGGTGTGAAAGAGTTCGGTGTAAGTAATTTTTCTGTGCATTTTGTATGTTCTGGTGAATCAGCTGCTTGATTTCTATATGGATTTTCACAGTTTACTGAAGTGTGATTCCATATAATCACAAAGGAGGGGATTCATCTCATTTAACTGTGCATTTAGTATTAAAATTAATAATCTATGCCAGTCATCTGTCCTCCTTTTTTTTTGTCCAGGGAAAGAACACTTTATCTGATTTTTTTTCTTAGGTAATTGTCTTAAGATAGGATAATGCTTTTCTTTTTCCACTGACTGTAGAGCAGCCTTGCAAGACTAGTTTAAACTACAAACCCAAGTTTTAGACAGCTGAAGTGAGGTGAGATTCATTAATTCCTAGATTTAAGAGTGATTCACTCCAGTGAATAGAATGGCAATTATGTAAAACATGAAATACATTTTTAATTACCTTCATGAAAGCTGCACTAAAAAACATCAGTGATAGCATAAAAACTTGAGGGGGAAAAGAAAAAAAAACCAGCCAAACCCCAGCAGGGAATAGAAATGGAAGTTTTTAAGGAACAAAAGCTAAATTAATGACCAGATTTGTGAAACAAATAGGGCAAAACGATTTCTACTTAATTGCTAGAGACAATAGCTGAAAGCAAGGCTTGATTTCTGGGTGAGGTTTTTGGTTTGTTTGTTTTGTTAAATATCTGTAGCTTCTGGTGGATGACTTGCTGGTGTACAATGGGATTCTGGATATGGTGAGCCATGTGATGTCAGGAATCCTCCCAACCTGCGACCCAGTGGTCCCGTATCACACCATCCTCTTCACCGACGATGAGAGGATTTGCCGTCAGGAGAAGAGAAGAGTTATTAGGTATGTGAGTGGATCTCCAATCTCATTTTTAAACAATGTTTGCATGTGACTGATGTCAGCAATCTGTGCATTGCTGTAGAAAATTCCCTTCCAAAGTGCCTCGCTTAATGAGAAATAAAGAGGTTTTTCGATACAAAGACCAAATTACCAGCTTTATGTGCACTTACTGGGACTTGTGATTTATATTTACATGTGTTTTCATGAAAGCCTATAAACACAGAAGAAAAAAGTGAGGCTTCCTTTGAGAGGGGATAATAAATCCCAATGATATTACATAGAGGGGGGAAAAAATAGAAAGTTAATGAAAAAGAACCAAGCATCAAAATTAAAGAAAACAAAGTCCTCTGATTTGACACAGATGCTAATTAAGGAACCAGAATTCTACTATTTTATAAACATTCTAAAATAATGAACTTGCTAAAATGAGAAATGACTTGCATTTGGAGGAACGACACTTTGAAACTACTAAGTTGGCAATCTCACAGAGAATGTGATGAAATGCAGTGAAAAATGCACTTACATTTAGAAGGTTAGGATTGATAGGGTCTAAAAAACAGTCCCTGGCAAAGGAAAATGAAGATTGAAAGAATAATTTATTTTAAATGGGATTGAAAAGTGAAGAAACGAAAGCTTATAGAAATGAACACTTTCTTGCACGTTGGACAGCTAACAAATAGAATGTCTTGCACCTACACCACTGGGGGGAAGAAAGGCAAGTTTTGCATGGCAAAATGGCACAGGATCCATTCAGAAGAATATTAAAATATTTAGAAAGTAGCAGGAGGAACATAAGCTGTCCTGATTAGGAACAGTAGTTCACATTTGCCTACGGGGTTTGTTTTCCCTGGATTTCTCTAAAGCATTGGCTGTTGGCCACTGGAACCGTCAGATGTTAAATAAATTATTATCGTTTGGGTGTATTGTGTGAGACATGTTTTTGTACAAGTGGCAGTGTTGTCGTGGTGAAATTCGGAGGTGGGCGATTTTTCAAGTGAAAACGCTACTGAAAGGAAAACGTCTCGAGGAAATCAAAGTTCTGAGAATTTTTTCAGTGGGGTATAAAAAGGAGTAAGGAGGGGAAATGAACCTTTACTTTCCTCAGCTCCAGGTCTTTCTGTGAGTAAAGCTATTTTATTGGAAATCACAAGGAGCAGCAGATCTTTTTCACATAACTTCCTTTGCACGTGTTATAAGGCTTATATCCTTTGATTTACTTTGAAGAGGAGTATCTTTTTGGGGTCACAAAACTGCATGGTCTGTTCTCCAGTTGAGAACATGCTGAGTCTCTTCTCCTCGAGGCTCCTGGGCAGGAGCTTTCTTGCTCTTTGTTCTTTTGCCTGCTTTGCAGTCTTCTTTCCCCTTTTTTTTCCACCTCCCACCCTACTAAAATATAGGGTATTTCAGCAGCAATAGAAGACATGCTGGATAATATCCCTTCATTTTAAAAACGGTCTTGGGCTTTTATGTGTTGTTACTTCTGATTTTGGCCTGTTCTCTTTCACACGTCCCTGTTCGGTATTTTATGAACCCTGAACTTGAGTCTGATTATTATCATCAATAGTGTAAGTTCTGATTTCCTTCAGTGTTGGCTCCCCTGCTTCACTCTGACAGTTTGGGAGACGTTACATTTTTCTCCAAAAATAGAAACCCATTTTGCGCAGTGTTTGCAGAGAAAAGAAAAATACACTTCTTGTGTTCCAAAGGGACAAATGTTTTGTTTTGTCTGTGAAAGGGAGATGTTTTTAGTGATATTTTCTTCACCTTTCCATTCAGCTCACATTTTTCCCCTGTGATTTGTTTAGTTTGATTTCACTGGGAAGTTATTACTTCTTTCCCCAAAAGAAATGGTTAAAATTTTGCAGCAGCCTGCGAGTAAAACTTGTCACAGTAAACGAATTTTGTTTAGTTCAGAAAACTTTCAAATAATGCTATTCCAGCCTTACAAAGCAGTGTGAAGTTCCATATAGGGATTTTTATACCCTGTATGGAGAGCTCTGATTTAAAATCTCGCTTTGGTTAATGTGGTTCAAGCTGTGTAGGCAAGGCTTGCAAATTGTAGAGTGAATGTGATATTTATATTTGAATGTGTGCCTGAATGAATGGTACTAATTAAAACTGGCAAGGAATCCTTCAGGTGGGTGCAGACGGGAAGTTGTGATTTTTTGGTAACTTTTTTTCCATAAAAAACTCTCATAACTTTTTCACAATGTTGATTATTTTGGCTGTTGTACTGATTTGCATCTTTTCAGCAATCATGTGGGAGACCAGGACGTCCGAATGATGAATGAAAATGAGATTGTCACAAACAGCAAAAAGAAGCAAGTTGTGGCTGATCCAGGTAAGTTCTGTCTTCCACAGTTTTTTTCTGATCCCTTCCTACAGACAGTGTGGATAATGAACATTTTTAGAGACCTAAACTGGGAAAACTGGGGAGTCTTACACCTCTTACATGTGTTTAGCTCAACTTTTTCTACCATAGGAAGACGAACTATGAATATCATAATCCAGAGGATTTTTATTCTATATCTAAGTCTGAAAGGGGATGATATAGATCAAAGGCGTATTTGGTTTATACCAACTCAAATGGGAAAGTCCTCAGGAAAGAAACTGGCTGAAGATAAATTGGAAATTCATGTTAATAGTGGAGGTTCATAGATAGCTTTTGGAATAAGAGGCTCGTTCTATCCTCACTGATCTCCTAAGCAGCTTTTAGAGATGATGCAGATGTGTCTGAGTATCAGCTGCTTGTTGCTCCTTGAGCAAATCCAAAATCATGATAAGTGTAACAAGGGGGAAAACATGTTGACTTTATTCCTCCCACTGTCTTTCTGGTTGGTCTTTTCTCTTTCAAAGTGATAATTAAAAAGACAACCCCTATTTTTTTCCCAAGGAGAAAGAGTAGATTTTATTTATAGTCTGAAGAGTCCCAGTCATTCATTGTAAATTACTCAGAATAGCTCCCTAAGTACATTACAAATTCTCAGCCAAACTGGTATATTTATGATTGGTTTTCTCTCCTGAGCATGACACTTTCTCCAATTAGTTCTCTAGAAAGTGTTGCAGAAATTATTTGATGGCTTTTAATAACAGTTCTGTAGGAGAAGGATTTGAAAGCCCGTTGCCTGTACAAAACCAGCCTGAAAGTTATTAGTGTATTAGCACAGGCTGTGCCAAAAGTATCCTGGACATGTCTGTGCCTGTTGGAATGACATCCTGGGCTGCAGAGCAGACACGGCCAGTAGAACAGCTCTCACTGCCATGGCCATCACAGCTATTGCCCAGTGTTCTGGTATCAGCCCAGTGGTTGTTGGTAACAGATTTGTACAATGGTTTGGGTTGGAGGAGATCTCAGAGGGTCTCCTCCTGAGGGAGGGTCCAAACTCCTACTCAGGTCAGTGTCAGCATTAAATTCAGACCAGATTCCACGGGAAAGCAAATCCGTGGGACCATGAAAAAATTGGCAGCCCTCGCTGTCGGTGTAAGAAACATCACTGAGAAGACTCTCTCAGCTTTCCTTCTGGGGTGGAAAGAGAAATGGGCACTTTTCTTCCTCATCTTACTCTGTGGCTTCACTGTACAGTCCTAAACCAGCTCTCCGTTTTCCCTCCCAGCTTTGCGTCCAAAAACCTGCATGTGTGAGAAAGGGCTGCAGAGGAGGAAAAGATAACAAGGGAAGTCCTGGGTGCATCCAGCCCTGAATAACTGCAGTCCAGATCTCCAAGATGAGCATCATCCAAGTGGAAGATTTGCTATGTCTGCTGCTGCTGCTGAACCACCTCCTGTTCTTATGAGGGGCAGTTTTATGTGCATGGGAAATGTTTTTCAGAATGAAATCTAAAGCATGAATTTATTTTCCTGAGGGTTCTTTGTCATGATGTGTCTGATTTTTTTCCCCTCATCTCTTAACTGACAATCCAGGGAGGAAGGAGCATAGAGGAGAGAGTGAGAACTTTACTGCTGACAGCTGTTCCTGCCAAGTACTGAGAACTTGGGGGAAGCAGGATGGTTTGATAACCACGGGTTCTTCAGATTATTTCTCAAAGCTTTTATTCCTAAATCCTAGCTGGATGATCATGAAGGTCCTCACTAGAAGGAAATGTGGCTTTATTTCTGATGCCTGTAAATAGTTCTCTGGGAAATGCACTTACTAGAGGAAATACCTCTTTACCTGTCTGTCTCTGGGCTGCCACTGCGTGTTTTGCTGCCGTGGCTCTCTGTAGGAGCTGACACTGTTTCTGACACCTGGGAAGGTTCCCCTGGGCTTGCAGAAGTGTGATGGATGCTTTTAGGAAATGGAGATCAGGAAGAAGGTTTATCAAGGTTTAGCAAGCACATTTCAGCTGTCATTTCTTTCATGTTTTGCAGTGAAATAATAATTTCTTTCATTATTTCACTACCATGAAAAAAACAAATAATGTGTTTTGCCTGGAGTGCCATTGACAGGCACTCTACACATTCTTCAGAGTCCTCCTGCTACAGAGCAATCTTCTTCTCTCCTATTTTGCCTGCTCTTGTTTATATGAACAAGGAGGCCATACTTCTGTGCTGCGCTATCCACATCTGTTACCAGCAACATATTGTCACCTCTGAGAAATGGTAAATGCATTTTAATTAGCAGAAGGTAAGGAGCAGGGTGCATTTTTACACACACAAAAAAATACCCTGCTATGTAGGCATTGGAACAAAAGCTCTAACCAGATGAATATGCTGCAGGATTTGCTATGCAAATGTACTTTTCACTGAAACTTGGGTGTTTGTGACAACCTGAATAAATTGCTTCCATAGCAGATTCTTCCTTTGTCATTTAGAACTCATTCCAACCCAAGCCAGTCGATGAGTCCATGATTGTTTCCAGAGAGAAATGAACACTGAAGTCAGGATGTGCTTTTAGACGTAAAACAGAGTTAGTGTTGCCGCTGTTGCTGTAGAACCAAACTGTGCTGCTTCCCTTTCTGTCCTAAGTCAGGAGTGTAATATTTTGTATATTTGCTTATTAAAACCTCACTGCTGTTGGCTAAAAGACACAAGATAGGAATGCCTTTCCCAAATTTCTGTGTATTGACGGACCAACAAAATGTATTTTGTACTAAATACAAACCACTTTATTTCTAAATGTAAAATAGTGTGAGTAACTGCACTTTGTTTAAGGGATCTTCCCAATCTGCACTGACAAAAGAACCCTCTTGTTCTGATAATTCTCCCCGTGATGCGTTTCCTGGTGTAGCTCCACCAAGAACCAAACTCCAGATCATAGAACAGGCAACTCCAAAATGAAACAGAGGAGGAGCTGAAAGGAGGGATATTGTGAGCGCCCAGAACAGATATAAATGTCTGTATTTGGAAGAGGAGAGGCTACAGCAAGGTTTTGAAGGCTTAAGGCACAACCACAGATTTGTCATGCAGGCAATCTCTGAATGGGATGTCACATTGTTTGTTCTTCTAAGCAAATTGCATTGAATGTGCAGAGAAATGAAATCTGCTGTGTTTCCTGGCACACAACAGCATCCTTATTATTGATCTGAAAAGGTATGAGGAGGAGAGGACCTCCTGTGCTCATCTGTCTTCTCTGTATCTGTCTGGAGCCTCTCCAGTCCTGTGTGTTGGACTAACGATTTTTCAATCCTAATCCTTTGAGGTAACTCCAGGCTTTGTAAATTATTGCAAAATACTTGGTCAAGCTCAGATGGGCCACAGCGCTCTCTGACTGTTGTGTGCCTGTCCCCAGCTCTTCCTCAGCAGCCAGCTGGTGACTGCAGCCACCTTTCCCACCTTTTGCCCCTGGAAATCTGTGTGTGGAGCAGCTGCTCTGGCATGAAGTTTAACGGCTTCAATCTTCTGCCATCCTCTTCTAATGGCCCTTGTACCCCTTGAGGAGATTCCCCACGACTGCCACGCCATGGAAAGAGCATGAAAGTCTTTAAAGTACTTCAGAACAGCTGTTAAGTTGTTAAGTTGTGGAACGTCCTCCCCTGCAGTGTCTGTGTCTGCAGGAAGGCTTTGCCAGGCTGTGCTGGGATGACACACACCACCAAGGCACGGCCTGATGGAAGCCTTGATTCCAGCCAGGCATTTATGGAAAGGAGCACAACATTAGGAAAATACTTCATTCATCCCTGTGGGGTAGGAGATGTCAGCATTTGCCCTCCTAATTGGAGCTGAGATGTAATGACCCTGTATATAACCAAAGATAATTAAGTGTCCTAGTCAGCCCTATGCACTCAAACATAGGCCCTCGACTCATTTCCTCAGTGAATCAGGGTTAAAGAAAAGGGTTTATTCCATTTTTCACCTTATTTTAACTAACTACCCACAAGTACATTCATGCCAGACTAGCATTTACAGGAGGGACAAGAGGAAGAGTAAACATGCAATCAAGGAAATCCCCACAGAGCACTTCAGTCAATGCCAGGCACCGTTTCAGCAGGAGTAATTCAGTGAGAATGTGCCCAGTGACATCATTTGACATTGTCAGAAGCATGGCAAATGAATTCTTGCTGAAGGCCTGGATGTAAATTATTAAACTTTCACCCAGTTCCAATTTCTGGGCCACTCAAAAAGGTTTGTACCGTAGTTGCTCACCTTTACCTGTTGTGATTTGGTTTAAAGGGCATGGATCAAGATAACAGAAATGAGTTTGTTTGTCCCACAGTGACACTGAGAAAGGCAGGGGATAAAGAAATCATTTGTGAGGAAGTACATGTCAGGCTGCCTATTTTTTGATCTAGGAAAAGATATTTTTATCAGTCTTCACAGCATAATCTGAAGGCTGGGAAGGCCTGAAACTTTCCAATTTCTGCCTTTTTGTGCTTTAATCCAGTAGCATTTAAACAGGAGGGAGAAGCACCTGTCAGTGGACAAGGGAGCAAGCAGGGGTGCACTGCAAAAGGCAGCATAGAAGACATGGAAGTTTGTGTATTCCTGAGTCAGGAGACTCATCCATGAACCCGTAAGAGCTTCATGAGGAGCTACATGGAGCAGCTAAATTAAACTGAGCCCTTCTCGTGGCTTAGACAGGACTGGGACGTGAACTGCCCTACAGAATCCTGCTGAGGTGATGCTGTTTTCTATAAGATTTCCTGGTCCTGCTGGACTTTCCCCATGTTCCTGGTGTGTAGGTCGTTCCCTGTCGTGATGTCCGGCGCTACCATTCCAGGGATGAGTGCCAGGCTGGGAACAGCTGCAGGAGCCTGGCAGTGCCCAGGAGTGACTGGGTGTTGTGAGATTGGACAGAGATCTTGTACCCCAGGTAACAAAGACACTGGAATGGGCAGAGACAGGACGTGGTGCCATGAGGGTGTGATGGAGAGGCCCGTGGAGGAGGGAGGTGGAATTCTGAGTCTTTAAACTTCCTCGAGTTTCCAGAAAAACCTCACTTCCCAGCATAAGTCGGGTAAGAGCAGACATGAAGGGCTGTATTGACATCTGAGTTCTGCCACCTGCAGGGGACAAAGTCTACTTTGCCTTTGATCTGCAAGACAGAAGCTTTTCCCCTTCCCTTCTGCTCTCTGCTCGCGCTGTCCTCACTGCTGGATCACCTCTGCTCCAGCTTGGGGGATGCAGTGAGTGATTAGAGTCCGAACCAGCACATTGTGGAGGGTGCCTTAGGCTGCCCTCCGTGTTCTGGGACTGCTGAGCTCAAACAGGAGCTGCTCTCATGGCAAACGCCGCTGAAGGAGCCAAATCTCTTCCAATATTCCTCAGAAAATGCCAAGTCCAGCACACACCACCTGGCAATGGCTTCACCGGTACTGCAGGCACTGTAACTGGGCACTCTGCAGCACCTGGGGCACCTTCCTGTATTCCCTTTTAGCTTTTTCCCCGTCATGTCTATCTTTCAGCTGGGTAATTATGTTAGAAGGTCACTCCATTCATCCTACAAACCAGTCCTGAAGGTCCTGTTCAGAATCATTATTGTTTGCCTTGCGGGTGTGACCAGCCTGTTCCACTCTTCAGATGGATGTGCTCAGATGTGTTACAAGATTAATTTTATTTCATCTCATTTCCCACGTGCAGGGCATGTGCTCTCTGATCTGGGGTGTCACCAACCCTTGTGGTCACAGCTCCTGTTTGCTGTGGGGGCCCCCATGTCCAAGGATTCCAGTGCTGTGGCTCTGCCTGCTGGATTATTGCCCAAAAATGCTGCAGAGACGACGGTTCATGGTGGAGGTGTCTCCTCCAAAGAGCAGAGAGGGAGACAGAGAGGACTGTAACACACTGGGAGGGTGTTTGCCTCCATCTGCCTGCTGAGGTCCTGCTGCTCAGAGCACAAGAAGTGGCTTCCTGGCTCGGTGGCCTCTTTGCCCATTTCTGTGACTATTTGCTTGTTTGCTGAGAAATGACTTACAGCCCATGTGAGACACAAACATCCCTTTATCACACAGCTTGTATCACCCTAATGGAATTCTGTCAGCTGAGGATAAAATGTGGACTAAGAAAGCAATTATAGAGTGAATCTTCGAGCTGCAGGAAGAGCTGGGAGATGAGGACGGAGTGCCCAGCTGGAGTAATTTCTTGTCCGACCGGCCGCTAAATCTTGCTGGGAAGGGATCAATTTTCCACCCTTGTCTAACAGCATCAGCTCCCATCACCCTGGCTCAGGACCCTGTGAAGTGCTGCAGTGTCGAGATCTGGACATAAAAGGAAACATTTGCAATTGGTGGCTTCTTTCTTACTGACCCAGGAATTATTGGAAAAGGAGAAAATCAGGTTATAGACTTGCTGTCTGAGGGCTCTCTGGTGTTCCCTTTCTGAGCTCCTGGTGAAGGAGAGGACTGACCATCCAAGTGATCAGCAGGGTAGGAGTTTCCCAGCCTGAAATATTGCTTCCATGGTCCTCCACCCACACCTCACTGCTTTGCCTCTAATTAGGAGAGGAAAACCTGCACCTCATGACCTGTGAGCAGCCTGCCCAGGTACACAGGTTATTTCTGTAAAGTCTCAATTATGCAGTGAGACCACAGTGAAATCCTGCCTTTAGCTTTCAACTCACCCAAGGTCTCTGCTGTGACTAAAATCAACCTGACTCACAAACCCTGAGTGCCCTATTGCTCGTGGGACTTCCAAAAATGTGAGCAGGTACAGATTTTGTGCAGTCTGGGCAGAGAGGATGGGCATTTGGGGGAACCATAAATCTAAGGAAATAGGTCAGAGAGATACAATTAATTCACACTCAGCTCTTCCCTCTTACAGATTCGTGACCTGTTGTTTCAGAGCTCGTTTTCCTCAGCTTATCTGGATCTAACTGGAAAAGGACCTTCACACTGGTTTTTGAAAGAACATCCTGCTGGGCTGAGTGTGTGGAGGTGAATGTCAAAGAAGGCTAAAGAATTTAGAAACAGCCAAGTGTCCTGACAGTCTGCTGGCCCTGGGAGGGGCAGGAGGAGAAGGGAAGTGTTAGATCTGGACACTGCACCCCTGAGCCATCCTAAGGGCCAGGAGGAGCCTGGTCCTTGCCTGCTGCCCCCTGAGAGTGTGAGCCCAGCTGAGTATTATGGACTGCTGTCCAAACTGCATCCCAGTCCGTGCAGCTCCAGCTGGGATACAGTTTGGACACCAGTCCATAATAAGGGGGAGGGAATAGAGAGAGGGAACTGCTGTGGCTGTGAAGGTTTCTCAGGGAAATTGCTCTTCCCCCAGCACGAGCATTGTACCTGGGGAAGAGAGGGCTCCTGTGGCAAAGACAATGAACCTGGAGCAGCTGAGCCCTTTCATCTCTCTCACTGAGAATTCTCTCCTGCCTGATGGCAGCGTGAGGTGGCTGCCAGAACAGAGGTTTCTGTGTGTAACAAGCTGGGGAAAAGAACTTTCATCTTGAGCAAGAGGGAGCTTTTATCTCTCATCAGAAGGGGCCAGGGGCACAGCAGCTCTCTGAGTGTGCAGGGCTGGCAGGAGGAGGCTCTGGTCAGCACAGGGAGGGGAGCTGGGATGTGACAGCTCCCCTTGTGCTCACCAGTGGGCTCAGGAAGTGTAACACACTGATGGTGCTGTTCCTGCCTTTCATTATTCCTAGGTCCGTGCTCCCATTCAGCAAAGGTTTTCCTGACTCTTTTCTGCAGTTATACACCTTTTTTTTTTTTAATTAACCTTACAGAAGTCAGATCAGGTTACACAGGGTTTCAAC